TGGGGTGCTCACGCTGTAAGTTCTTGGGGGGGGAGAAGTGGTGGTGGAGGGGGAGGTTGAGGTTGCCATTGTGCTGTGGTATCTGGGAGTGTTGGTGGTGGTGCTGATGCGAATACTGATACTGATACTGGTGCTTGCACTTGAACCAGCGAAGAAGAAGAAAGTGTTTGCAGGTTTGCAGGCGGCGGCAGCAGCAGCAGCAGAGAGTGTGAGCAAGCGGGAGACGCTGGTGCGGGGGAGCATATACCGGCTGTGGTTGGCTGGTGAGGCGCTGCGCTGCGGGAAAGGAAAAGAAAATAGCAATTATGATAATTTATTATTATTATGTGACAAGGATTGTTGTTTGTGGGGGCTGCAATCGCTTTGTGAGTGTTTGTGAGTGTTTGTGAGACCGAGTAAGACCTGGTGATGCAGAAAGGAAAAATTTGACGTTCCGCCGCCGCTGCCAGTGAGACTCTAACTGCAGTACTTTTAGTACCGGGTGCCGATAAGCCTCGCTGCCCTGTCCAGTGTCCGCCGTGTCCGACCACTCGGGGGTGGGGGGGGGTGGAGCTGGGCGTCTGGGACCCTGGGACCCTGGGACCCTGGCCGCAGCCAATCGGATAGCGGGCAGTCGCTCTCCATCTAGCCCGGCGCTGTACCCTAGACGTTCAACGGTTTAAGCGACTACCCCCTGGCAACAGTTACAACTTATCGATACTTACAAAGCAAAAATCTATGCGGGATTCCTTCACGCAGGTACCCACCTACGCACGTACTCTACGTGTGTCAGTCAGTGCTTCCGTCGCGTCGTTTGTTCGGGGAGATTAATAATGCCGTCCTCCTGCTGTGTGTTGCAAAATGCCCCCGTTGGAGTAGTTTGTATTCGTCCGATGTTTTAATAGAGTTATGTAGATCCCTCCCATGGGGCAATTATTCCTCCGCTGCTCACGATCATGTCACCGAGAATACGCCGCCATCACCCCCCCCCCCCCCCCCACATTCCACTCATTCCACATCGATATAGAGTACCCCCACAAAGATTAATTTGTATACCTACATGTATCTATGCACATAATGTTGGTTGGTACATGTAGCTGATAGGTACTCCCATGATCCCACAAGAGTCAAAAAAAAACCCGCTTTATAATCACTGGCTTATAAATTGCCCACTTTCATTGTGTCACTGGAGATAGATATCATCGTCGAATTAACAATCCTCTACCTATGTACTCTACTATTAACGACCCCTGCAAGAAGGGACAAGAGAATGAAACCCACCTTGACATTCCCGCCCTGCTAGCTCCGGAGTTAGATAAAAACTAGCTAGGGTGTATATGCGAGTGCATATACGCCTGTTGTCTAATTGCATGTGTTATGGCATCATGGGCTCGGTGAAAAGCTACTCCATTTTTTTTTCCCTCTTGCACCTAAGACTAGTGGAATGATTGCTAATGCTTCGGAGGTGGGGGGAGGGGGGGGGACGTATGTATATAATAGGGCCCCATATTCCTGCTCCGTTATGTAGTCAATAGTCACAAGCAACCCGATCATTGACCCTTTAAACTCACCTCGAAAAAATAAACAACATGTCTACTCCAATCGACATCCTCTCCACCCCCGTAACGCTACCATGTGGGCTCGTGGTCCCAAACCGTATCGTTAAGGTATACACTCCCCCACCCTCCTCAGAGAGAGAAAAGACAGGAAAGACTAACGCATCCCCAGGGCCCCATGGCCGAAAACCTCTCTTCCGGCACCTCCCACCACCCCAACGACCTCCTCAACACCGTCTACCGCGTCTGGGGCGAAGGCCAATACGGCATGCTCGTGACCGGCAACGTCCAAGTCGACCCGCGCTTCCTCGGCGGCCCCGGCGACGTCACCTTCGCCCCCTCGGACCTCAAGAACCCCGTCGCGCTCTCGGCGTGGAAGATCTGGGCGCACGCCAGCCAGGACTCCGGCACGCCCACCGTGGTGCAGCTGTGCCATCCCGGGCGACAGAGCCCGTTCGGCGCCGGCACCCGCGGCTTCTTCACGAAGAATATTGCCCCGAGCGCGGTGGGGCTCGACCTGAAGGGCAGCTTCCTGACGAAGCTGGCGCAGGCGCTGCTGTTTGGGACGCCGAAGGAGATGACGCTGAAGGATATTGATGAGGTGGTGGAGATGTTTGTGAATGGTGCGAGAATGTCGTACTTGGCTGGGTTTAAGGGTGTGCAGTTGCATGCCGCACACGGATATCTCATTACGCAGTTTCTGAGTCCCAAGGTATGTATATATATATACCCACCCGCTCACCTACGCCCGGAGGCCATAGCAAGAAGAAATAGAGACTGACGGTAAAAACCAGATCAACAGGCGTACTGACGCCTACGGCGGCACCCCCGAAAACCGCCTCCGCTTCATCCTCCGCATCATCGAAGAGACCCGCCGCGCCACCAGCCCCGAGTTCTGCATCGGCGTGAAGCTCAACTCCTCCGACTACCAATCCATGGGCATCACCGACGAAGAGGTGCTCGGGCAGGTCGCAGCCCTCGACGAGGCCGGCGTCGACTTTATCGACATCTCCGGCGGCACCTACGAGGACCCGCGCATGGCCCAGGTATCGAACGGCAAGCCCGTGCGCGAGTCGACAAAGCTGCGTGAGTCCTTCTTCCAGGAGTTCTCGGAGAAGGCGAGGAAGGCTGTCAAGAAGGGGTGCGTGATCATGGTCACGGGAGGGTTCAGGAGCCGTGTGGGTATGGCGGCGGCGGTGACGGACGGCGCTTGTGAGCTTGTGGGCATTGCGAGACCGGCGTGCTTGATCCCCGATGTGCCGAAGAGCGTGTGGTTGAACAAGGACCTGCCGGACGAGGAGGCAGTGGTGAAGCCTGCCAAGATCAAGGGCGGTGAGTGGCTCTCGATGATTCCAATCTTGGGAGTGGGGATGCAGAGTCTGTGGCATGGAATGCAAATCCGCAGAATCGCGGCAGGGAAGAAGCCAGACTTGGATATGAGGATGTTTTAGATTGCTCGGTTAATTGGGTTTGAGATTTGCAATTGGTCATGTAGAGCATCCTCTTCTTTCTTTTTGTTAGCCATGTTTTTAGATTCATGTATCGGGTTTTTTCTTTGTTTCTTTTCTAGACATATATCATAGCGCTGGCGATACGTATACAGGTCGTATATAATCGAACGAATCAGAAAATAACTGTCCCAAAAAGATGTTGTCAGTGCTGCTTACCTTGAGATTCTGCCCACTGGCCACCCTCTTGTACATCTATATCAGCGCATCATAGGCCTCGTACTAAAGTCACGTCTCTGCGGTCCGCTATCACCTTGCGATTTCTCCTGAAATACCAATTCATGTTGCCGGGGTTGATCTTCCTCTTGACATGCATATATCGCGTCATAGGACATCACTCGATACCAAGAAACCACCTCTTAAGTTGCCTGCGTTCGATGCTCACTGCATCTTTGCGTACCTGGAGAGCTTTCATCAACGGAGTGTAAGTTATTAAACCATTATAAGTGGGCTTCGCCCTACCAAGAACACAAGATTTGAAAATCAAGCGTGGCCAACACGCTCTAATGAGCGGTCTATTCACTGGGTCGGGGCATGGCCTTGGAGTTGACATACATGTCATGTATGCAACGGTGTTTCTTTATAATTACAAGTGGAGGTGCGGTTAGGTAAAAGGCTCCGTCAACTTTGGCTAGGGAGGAACACGGTTAATTGGGATAAAAAAGATCAATGGATTCCCAAGACCAATGACTCCGGTCGCGAGACTGCTAGTTAAAAATGTACCTACATGTATGTACATGTAGCTATGAGATGCATGCAGCCGGATGGGAGGCTTATGTAAAATAATTTGGCTCGAGAATTACAGTCAACTGCAAAAGTCTTGATTTTTCTTTTTCGCCTTGCATCAACCTTTTTTTTTTTTTTAAAAAAAAAAAAAGAAATCGGAAATTTACGAAAACCATATCATGTCCCTGAAGCCAAAGCTTTCATATTTAAGAAGTACATAATTGAAATAATATGTAATAGTCGATGAAAAGATTAGATCACTAACCCAAACCACAATACATACATGTACATCCTCCCATTTGGCACGTTGTCAAAAAAAAGTTGAAATACATTTATTTCGCACGGTCTTAGCATTTAACGGACGAAAACAATCGAGTAAGAAAGAGTAAAACAAAAAACAAATTAAAAATATAGTAGCGGGATGCAAATGGGACACATAAAAATAATTTCGGGGACAAAAGGATGTGGTAATGAGGCACATCCTCCCCCAAGGTGGGAATCGAACCTTCGACCCGGCGCGGTTTGATTCACTCAAGAACTTAGGTAACAGCCCTGGTGACTACTGCACCAGGCGTGGTGCTGGCTTTCAGTTCATTTCCTTACATGAGCCAGCCAACCTAGGGTTAGGTGTATATACTTAGTAGCCTGCATGCGCGGTGCCTTTTTTTTTTTTTAATTCATTTAATTGTATGCAGACCGTAGTCTATGACAATTGCATGCGCGGTGCTGGGAATGGAGCCCCAACATCAAACGTCCATCACCAACAAAACAGGCGCTCTCTCCCACGCCACTTCTTCCAAGTGAAAGAAATAAAGAAAATAAAATAAAAATAAAGCCCTCGGAGGAATCAAACCTTCGATACCCTGATTAACACGGCCTGAGCGGAATCAACACAAGGAAGCAATGGCATTACTACACCATCGAAGCTGGTGTGTTTGGGACGGGAAAACATACAAGTAGTTGACCTTACAGCCAGTATGTGTATATCCATACTGGCCCTATCCTCGTATGACGCCGTACTATTGTGTAATTTCATGGGAGGCATATGTATATCGAGACGAGCACGGTGGTTCCGAGAGCAACTCAGCTTCATCTACTGCGAAGACTTCTCCACCATCTCACTTTCTGTTCGTAATTACGGCAGCGCAAGGGCAACCGTCAGCAAAAAAAAAGTGGTATGAATTGAAACTTTCGAACTATGTAATCCTCCCAAATACTAAACATTTCACAATCAGATAGCCAGCCTGGCCACACTTTCCGCCACATCACTCCCCTTCTTCTCCACCAAGACACTCAACAATTCTCCAACCCTATCATCCGCGTCATCGCCCAGATTCTTCTTGATCTCAGACATCAGGATAATGGCATTATCAAGGTCCTGTGCTTTGAGCTCCTTCAACGCCTTTTCCTCTTCCACGCCGCATCCCATCCACACGCTCTCCGCTGCACCTCTCGCCATGATGACCAGTCCAAACAGTCCTTCTGTGCGGACGACAGGCCATTTGTCCTGGGTTATCATACCCCAAAGAGGTGCTGCGATCTTGTGAGTGTAGAGCTTTCCCTCCAGTTCTGGGGAGGTGGAGGTGTAGGTAGATGAGGCGTTGAGGACACGGAACATGGCAACGATGGTTCGTGCGATTTCGGTTCTGGTGGGTAGTTCTTCCGCGGTGTTGTAAATCTCAAGACAGCGGGTAAGAATTGTTTTTTCGTCTCTCTCGGGAGATGGTTGCAATGCGAGAGTTACGTTTTCAACTGCGGAAAGATGCATGAGTAATTAGTGAGTGATAATTGATGACGCCAACTACCAAGGAGGCTGAACTCACTGCAATTAACGCAGACCAATCTCCCTAGTCCAACAGCCGAATACCAAACTTGTCCCACTCCCACTCCCTCCATGCTCAACATGTCCCATATCAGGTCGAACACACCTGCACTTCCAAGCGCCGCTTTGTTTGTCTTCGCGATTGCAAGGTTCTTTAGCACTCCCGTCGCAGCATGGAGAACCCCCACTGCCACAGCACCTTGTCCCGCACCTGGCTTCTCCTCTCCCTCTGGAACAGGCACTGCCTTCTCTTTCTTAGCCAAAGCCGCAGCTTTAGCGTCGTTGTACTTCTTGATCGTACGTCTTATGATGCCAAACAGGTCTTTGTGCACCTCATATTCCTGCACCAGACTGCTGCAAACCTCATCACTACGACCGACATTACCGAGGATAAGACAAGCAGCTACGGTCAAGTCTATCTTTTCATCATCCGTCTCGTTCAGCCAGCCCCGAACGCGGGCGATGACAGGGCTAGAAAGAGGGTATGCATCCCGGAAGTCGTTATGAGAGGACAAATCACCAATGTTCTCTAGAAGGGCTTTACGGGCGTGGGCGATGAGTTTAGCATCCTGCTTTTCCGAGTCGGATTCCGGGGGGGTAAGTGACTTCTCGAAAAGATCGAGAGTTTGTGGGAATAGGTCAGAAGAGATTAGGGTGGTTTGGAATTCTGACGAGGTGAGGAGTGATGAGATTAGCGTGGAGAGTGAGAGCTGATCGTCAAATGAGCATAGCGGGGAAGTGGCAAGAGAGAGGAATGTCTTCAGAGCCGAGGGGGGACAAGCTTCTTTTCCAGCATCTACTTTGTGTCAGCGAGTGGCAGTTCCTCGAGGGTATGGATTCATGTTTACCATGAGAAACAAGTAGCTCGAGAACACGGCCAAAGTAGTCAAGCTCCTCGTCTTCTAGGAACCCTTCACGTCCGATTATTTCCAAAAGAACAGGACAGGCGCCGTCCGAGATAGCTTTCAACTGGGAGGGCTCTCTTGAAGAGTTAGCTTCACCCAAGCTACTTCCAAAACTGGTGAGGAAACAAACCGTAGTCTAGGCAAATATTATGAAGGACCATAAGTCCAACTTTTTGTAAATCTGGGTTTTTTATACATTCAAGTATTGGGGTAAGGGACTCCGGATTATCGATCACACGTTGGCGGTTCTTGTCTGGATTTTTGAGTTAGAATTTCCCAACAACCGGGAAAGGGTAAAAATCACCATTATCGGCACAACAGTTCCCAAGGAGACGAAGAGAGTGGAGACAGATGTCATGGTCCTTGTAGTTTGATGCAAGTACACTCTGGAAGAACGTGAGTATCTGAGCTTCACCAATTGGCGTACGCCATTCCTCTACACGGCACTCGTAGTTAGCTACAAATGCTCCATGGAAATAGTAGCTTTACAAAACGTATAATCCCATACCTTCACGACTAGCATCTGCACAGGCCTTTACCGCCTGCTTCAGCTTCTCCATATCTTCCTCGGCCTTCTCGGGGTTCAGTGCTTTCAACATCTCGAGTACCGGGACCAAATCCTTGCCCTCCTGTTCCTCCGCCTTGAATATCGCCGTAAGGGACTGCACTGGGTCCTGAGATGCCATTTTCGATTCGACAAGCTTCGTGTACCGCTAGAAAAAGGGAGAAACTGACTGAAATGATAGATGATTCAATCGCGGGGTAGTGGAAATATAAGGTGTTTCGCTATCACACGTGAAAATATAAGATGTTTCGCTATCACACGTGGGGCCCGCAATAGCAGCTGAAGGGCACGTTAGCGTGCCAACACTGCAAGGGCCACCTAACCTAACCACCCCCGAAACAGCCGCAGGAAATCATCATCACTCTCCTTTACACCTTCCAATCCTCGAACAATTCCCCAAACACACCCTACCCGCTTCTACCACGCTCCTTTCACAATACTTGTTTTTGTTTATATCTTAAAACCTTTACAATGACCCGCGCGATCGAAACCATCTCCGCCTTGCTGCTGTTCAGCTCCGTGTGTATCCCCCTATCTACTACATCTTATGGAATAGAGTATTGACTTGAACCTCCTCTAGCTCTACCTCGCGGCGTTTCTTGGCCTGATCCCGTTTCCGGCAAAGGTTCAGGAAGAGATTATCCCAGTTGTATGTTTTACCTCACTCCACTCTGAATGTTGTCTCTGAGCTGTGCTAATACGTGCGCGACTTGTAGCTTCCGTTCTGGGCGCTCGTTTCGTTCGGCGCATATCTTCTTTTCTCCCTAGGATGGGGAATCTTTACTTTTAACGACACAGAGGCCGCGTACCATGAGCTTGTTACGGTATGTTTTGAGGGTTGTGTAGGCTTGTTGCGATCAGAACTAACGGAGTGGAATCACAGGAAATTGAGCAGGCCAAGAAGGAGCTCAGAGTGAAGGGCGTTGATGTAGACTAGGCGCACAACTACGAATTTATGGATCGCGGGATTTTGGGAGACAGCACAGTAGGGAAGAATGTAGACAGTGAATGGGAAAAGAGGGCGTTCTTAATACCAAAATGCAGGACATGCGACTCAGGACTGAACTCAAGCGAAAATTTGACAAGAGAGAATCTTTTTGAGATCTATATTTCTACGGACCGGTCGATGAAACATTAATAATACGGCGTAAAAAAAAGGTTTCCCTGGGTATCTAATGTGAAGCGTAGTGACAAATCTCAGTTCTGCTCCTACATCTTGCCACGTGTCCAATATTCTGCCCAAATAACAGCCTGACCACTATCGACCTTCGAAGCGCACTTGCAGAGTAATGTTTAGGCGTCTAGTTCTGTCTCTTCTTGCCCCTGATGTTCTTCCTGCGCTGAGAAATCATGTGGGTGTACTGCTTGTACAGACCTGCATCACCAGTCAGCTCTCGTCCAGCAAACAAAACCGCATTTGGGAAACATACCAGGAGGGTACGTGAGCAAGACCGCAACCAAGAAGTAGTAATAGTTGGTGTTGAACTCCTTCGCCTCGGACAGCGCACGGAAGATGCAAACCGCCTCACTTCCCGCCCCCAACGGGTACAGGACAAAAAACGTGTTATACCTCAACCACTTCAAGAACCCGGGGGTGCGGCCCACAATGTTCGTAACGTAGTAGCTGTACCTGTATACCTCCGTGAGCGACCAAGCGATGAGCATAGTGCTGTACGCCAGCGACTCCTGAGGCGCCTCGAAGAGGTTTGTGACCCCCCACACGAGCAGGATGCGGGACGAGACCTGCACAACCGTGGTGAAGAGCGAGCTGCGCAGGAGCCCGAGGGCAATGTGGGCAATCTCCAGCAGCGCGAGGGTCTGCGTGAGCTTGGTGTACTCGCCGACGCCGCCGTAGACATTCTCGTACCCAACAAGAGGGAGGAGGAGGATGGTGCGGCCGAGGACACCGAACCAGAGGACGCAGGAGAGGGCGTTGTAGGCGATAAGGCTGTTTTCTTTTGATCAGTTTCTATTAAGTGCTAGGCGGGAATTAATTAGGAACTCACTATTGATCTTTGAAGGACCTCTTTGCTCGTGAGCGCTCCATTGAGTGCTATATCGTGAGTCGTGAAGTGTTCTGGGTATAATTATTTATATTTATATGGAGGGAGGTGTGATCGTGGTAGGGATCAGAGGGCGGGAGGGGGAAGGGTTTCTTTTTAAACCCAGTTGAGGGATCGATCAGAGCACCTCTGCAAATTGTTGGGATGTGGAAATATGCAAGTTCTCTGACATGTGCGGAACAATATCCCTGGAGGCTCTCCGAATGGTGGAGAATCGTTGTTCCGTTGAAACGCGCATGAAACGGATTGATGGGGATTATCATTTTTTATCAACATCTGCTGTAGATCACATATATATATGTGAGCAGAGGACGGACTCGATTGGTGGGTTTGCAAACGAACTTGTGCTTTAACAATTGATAGTGCAATCCACAGCTTAATTGCGCTGTGTGGATTCGGGTTGAATTTGTTGAATGTATTATACTCATCACTTTCGCATTAAATACTATGCATGCAGGCAGCACTGCATCTTGACTTGATGGATTCCCTCTTCAATCTTCACTGTGCTTCCGAGAAACAATGATAGCCTTGACACCTTTTCCCCCTCTGTTTCGAGGCTCAACAAAAAAAAAGTCTCCAAGAAGCCTCCAAACAACTCTTGGCAGCCCGCTACTACTCCAAGTAAAGCTACCTTCCGAAACACCTCTGACGCCTTAAAGTAAGACATTCCCCACCTCCAAACCACAGACCATCACCACCTAGTACCAGCCAGCCCACCAACCCACCCACCCACCCGCCCGCCCGCCCGCCATGCCACCCCGAATATCACTACGCCTCCCCAAGCTCGCCGTCCCACGGCCCTCCCAGTCCCCCTTCATCCGCACCTTCCTCAACATCGCCGGCGTCGGCGGCGGCCCCCAAAAGTTCTCCGAGGTGCGGTCCTTCCCGTACGCTGCCGGCCAGCTGTACAGCCTCGTGTCCGACATCAACAACTACCACAAGTTCCTGCCCTACTGCGTCGGCTCGCACGTGACGCAGTACTCGGCGCAGGACAACCTCCCCACCGAGGCCGACCTGCGCGTGGGCTGGGGCAACTACGACGAGACGTTCCGCAGCAAGGTGGAGTGCGAGCCCGCGAAGCTGATTGTGCGCGCGGACGCCTCGCAGAACGAGCTCTTCAAGTCGCTCAAGACGCGGTGGGAGATCAGGCCGAGGGGCGAGGGGAAGGGCAGCGATGTCGAGCTGCATATCGAGTTTGCGTTCAAGAACCCGGTGTATGCGGCGCTGAGCGGCGCGGTGGCGCCAAAGATTGTGAATATCATGGTGGAGGCGTTTGAGAAGAGGGCGAAGGAGGTGTTGGGGAAGGGGGGGGAGAAGGAGCTTTTGGAGGAGGAGGAGCAGAGAGCGGTGGGCTGAGATGGGTGTGCGGTAATTGGGATATGGTTCGGAATGGAGTAATTTTGTATCTAGATATACATAGCGATAGAATTGGCGCTGTGTGGCAGTTCTTTTCTGCGGTATTCTTAGAAATTTCTTTGGGTCATTGACATTTGGTGGAATTCGGGGTTCTGGGGTACGGGCTGGTAATCAAGGACGAAGGTTTTTAAAGAAGTCAAAAAAACCTGGCCAAGAAATCATTGTTCGTCTATTGCTTGTGACACCCAAAGTCCACAGTCGATCTAACCAGCAGATCCCCTGTTGCGTAAAACAAATAATAGATTCGAAGGAGGGCCTCTGTGACCTCAAGGCTTCTTGAGACTTGACTCCGGAGTCTCTAACTTGTAACGCTAGATAAACATGACCATACCGGCGTTTTCACGACACAAAACCTAGCAAGCTTTTAGTTTCGTAGTAATAGCTTTTCGACGCCAAGTCCCTAACAATCCATTAAGCCAAGATAAAGCACCACTATGCCTCTAAATCACACCACAATTGGATCGGCAAGGTGCAGAAACATAAATGAAATTTGGAAGATTAACTCAAGAAACTACGTATCATAACTTGCCTATAGACATAGAAGTTATTGCCTCACGAGTTATCACTCGAGCATCCCGGCGATTTTGAAAGTCCTCAATCTGGAGGGTGAGTTCTTGATATTAGTCAAGTTATGAATCTCCTAAGGCTATCTTAATTTGTAGTTATTTCCTGTAGGTTCCCGGGTGTATATTATGCGTAGATATAACTATGCTCTGCCCCATCATCGAAATTTATGTTTCGAGGCAGGTTTTTGAACGGTAAAGACACTACTTCCTGGGTAGTTAACCACAGGCGCGGTAATGACCATCATATCGTTGATTGTAATTATTTGAGCTTTATCATGCACTTTTTTGCGGTGTGTAGTTTTCCATTGAGGAGGGATTCTTCTTAATACGATCTCGGGAAAACTAAAGCCAGAATCCTTATGGACTGCTGGCTTCATTAATAGCGATCCAATTCACGAGCTGTAACTCGCACCACCTATTTGATAGCGACAGGGTAATTAGCAGCTTCGGATGTCATCTCCAGGCCTAGAGGCATCTATGGGTGGATAGATTCTTTGTGCAGGCACTCAGTGGGCGTGATATCTACTTTGTCGTTTGTAGTGCAACTGCACCGGAGCCTCTATCTTCTATGTGGTAAGGCTTGCATTATTAGCCAACACCGAGATAAAACCTCAAGATACCCGAACCCTCAATGCATCTAGAACTCTGATATCGAAACTATCTTCGAGTATTAGTAGAAGCCGCCCTGCCCTTGGTCATCATGACAAACAGGAGTAACCGAAAACCAGTCGATATTTTCTGTATGAGCTGTGTGCGTTAATCTCTTTTTTATCTATGTTTTTTTTTTTTGGTTCCTGCCACAAGACTGGTAGTTCCAACTGTTATTCTGTCCATTCCGCCCGAAGTAGAAACAAGGCGCCGTCCACCCAGGCCCTGTTGGTGCATGCGTTGATGCAGGCACTGAACTCCAGCTGAGGCCGGTGAGCGGGCTGCTCATGATGGCTGCCACTAGCGAGTGAGCTTTCTGTGAGGGTCTGTCTGGTAGTTCAAGCGTAATTTGCGGGTTGAGGTAGTCTCATGCCCAGATCAGCATGGGACAAGGAACCTTCTAGTTTTATGTAGATGCTCCTCTGCTGGGGGGAGGAAAGTATATTAGTTGTGGTGATGGATGGTAATGGTGATGATGATGGAGGATGGAGGGGTTGGAGGTTGACGGTGGATGAGTGTGCGTGTGATTGGAACATGGCGTGTCACTCGAAGCTCAACGACAAGGGAGCTACTGCTAGGATGCGAAGGTTCATCACGACCATTTCTGCAGCTGCGATCATTACCACCCACCACCCACAGCAATATCAACCACATTCACTCTACAATTAACAAATAAAAATCATAAGGACCTCGCAATGATATCGAATCGATATATTAAACCACGCTATCCATTCATTAGCCATTTTTAAGAAACAAGGAAATTACACACTCAATCTAGATACTAATAATACAAAACCAACCCGCAGACAACCTACGCAGCCGGCACCTCCGTCCGCCGCCTCTTATCCCCATCCCCCGAGTCCTCATCCCTCCGCCTCGGCGGTGACCGCGGGCGCTTCCTATCCCTATCCCGGTCTCTGTCGCCATCGTCACGTCGTCGTGGCGGTGATCGCGTGCGTCTTCGTTCCCGGTCTCTGTCACCGGAGTATCTTTCTCGGCGGCCGTCTCTATCTCGCTGGGAGTCTCTGGATCTCCGGTCGCCCCATTCTCGGTCATTGGGAGGCCCGCGTCTGTCTCTGTCGCCGTCTCTGGCTCCACTGCCACGGTATCGATCACCGCCCCTGTCGCCACCTTCACGGTCTCTGCGCGGACCTTCTGGAGGCCTCCGATCACCAAAGTCACGGTCTCGATCGTTCCGCGGTGGTGGAGGACCCCGGTTATCTCTTCTCTCCTCACCGCCGCGTTCTCTCTGCCTGTCCTTATCAGGCATGAACCTCTCATCATCCCTCATACCACCCATCTTCTCCGCCGCCCTCCTATTACTGCCACTCTTCTCAAACCACGGGCTGCCCCCATTCTGCATACTCGTATCCTCGGCCGTCAAATGCGTCCACCGCGTCCTCCCCCTCTTCCCCACCTCATCCCCGCGCACCTGCATATACTTCGGCAGCACATCGCGATTCTTGACCTCATCCTCCACCTGCGCCGTCGCATAGTTCTTCTTCATGACCTCGGACCCATCATCCTGATAAAACGCGCCCTTGTGATAATACCTCTGCAGGAACCCCATCTGCCCGCGACTCTCCTTCTTCTCCTCCCGCTGCTTCTGCACATACTCCATATCCTCCCTCCTCCGCAACTCAGGATCCATCGTGCGCCGCCGCTCAACCTCCTCGCGCTCCTTCTCAATCGCCTCCAGCGCCTCGCGCTCCCGCTTCACGCGCATCAGCTCCCGCAGCTTCCACGCCGCGCGCTCGGCCGCCGGGTCGAGCGCGTCCGTGTCGTCAACACCCGTAGCATCTTCATCGTCATTGTCGTCCCACCCTTTGCGGCCGGCGGCCTTGGCGAGGAGGTCGCGCTTGATGTGTTCTTCGAGGAGCACCTTCGCCTCCTCCTTTGCGCGCGCCTCCTCCTCGGCTTTGCGCTTCTGCACGGCCTCGGGGTCCTCGGCGGGGGCGTTGCGCTTGTTCTTTGGGATGAACGTTGGGCGCAGGAGGAGCTTTTTTGGCGCCTCTTCTTCGGATTCTTCTTCTTCGGAGTCTTCCTCGGAGGTGTACTCGCTGCTGCTCTCTTTCTCCGCTTCTGCAGCGGCGGCAGCAGCGGCTTCTTCGGCGGCGGCGGCCTGGGCGGCGAGCGCGGCGCGCGCTTCTTCGTCTTTGCGCGACTGCTCGAAGCGTTTGTTGAGGTCGACCTTTTTGAGCGCGGAGGAGACGATGGCGGGGGCGGAGTCGGCTTTGGTGGTGGTGGTGGTGCTGGGGATCTTGGGGGGGGCGGAGGCGGACTCGGAGTCGGAGTCGGAGGTGTCGGAGGCGTCGGAGGTGTCGGAGTGCTCGGGGGCGGTGGGTTTGCCGGGGCGGTAGCGCGCGGGCTTGGTGGGGTTTGCGGTCATGCGCTTGGGCGGCATGGTGGCGGTGTGTTTGTATATGGGGGGAGAATTGTATTTGAGGGGGCCGAGGGATTGGTTGGGTGGGGGGTTGTAAGTGTCTCTGTGATATCTGTATGATGTCTTTCTCTCTGGGGGAGCTCTGGCTGGCTGTCTCTGGCTGGCTGTCTCTGGGATGCGGTGTCTCTGGGATGGGCGTCTGAAAGACCAAGAGCTGACTGAGTGGGCCGAGAGGAATGAGAAGATTGAGAGAATAGAAAGGATATGGAGAACTGCTGAATTGAGGCCCAAGAGCTGTCAGTTGTGTCTCTCTCTCCGTGGTGTCTTTCTCTGTGCAGCTCTTCTCTCTCTCTTCTCCCGTCGTGCTGTGACGTGACCGAGCTCTCCTCTTCTTCTTCTTCACTCGACCCGGCTGAGGTTACCCTGGCACCCATCCCCCCGTTACCCGGCACCCATCCCCCCGTTACCCGGCCCTGCAGAGCCGCGTTTCTCGGATCGTTTTTTCTCAGCTCTGTCTCGGAGAGCAATTGCTGAACATCACGACCAAAACCCATCTTCAGCCCGCAATTGAAGAACCTCACCGCCAGCACAGCAAAATACACTCTTCTGCACCGGTCTATATCCCCTGATATAGCAATCTGCACCGGTCTATATCCCCTGATATAGCAATCTGCACACAATGGACACCGCAATGGACACCGACCCCTCCCCCACCTCCAAGGTGCAAGTCCAATTCGTGACCCGCCACCCCGACATCGCCGTGCCCGCCGCGCCCATCCTCGTCCCCTCAAACCTCAAGCGCTACGGCCTCTCCCAGATCATCAACCACCTCCTCGACACCTCCACGCCCGTGCCCTTCGACTTCCTCGCATCCGGGTCCTTCCTGCGCACCTCGCTCGACGCCTACCTCACGCAGCACGGCCTCAGCGCCGAGAGCGTCATCACGCTCGAGTACGTGCGCGCCGTCGTCCCGCCAAAGTTCCGCGCGGCCTTCCAGCACGACGACTGGGTGTCCAGCGTGCACACGCTCTCCCCAACCACCTCCTCCTCCCTCTCCTCCCCGCTCATCCTCTCCGGCTCCTACGACGGCATCGCGCGCATCTGGAACCTCAGCGGCCAGGTCCTCTCCGAAGCACCGGGGCACAGCGCCCCCATCAAAGCCGCCAAATGGACTCACAACGGCGCCGGCCTCGTCACTGCGGGAATGGACCGCACCCTGCGCCTCTGGTCGTACGACCCCTCCGCCGACGGCGCCGACGCCATCACGCCGCTCGCCGAGCTCCTCGGCCACAAATCTACCGTCGAGCACCTCGCCGTCGACCCGCGCAGCACGCACATCCTCTCCGCCTCCTCCGACAGCACCGTGGGCGTCTGGTCCACCACCCCCACCTCCCTCCCCCCCGCCCCCGCCGCCGCCCTCCCCCCAAAGCCCACCAAGAAGCGCAAGACCGCGCCCTCCGCCGTCCCGCGGTACGGCGCCCTGGCGCTCCTGTCCGGCCACACAGGCCCGGTGGCAGCCGTCGAGTTTGACGGCAAGGACGCAACAGTGGCCTACTCCGTCGGATGGGACCACACCATCCGCACGTGGGACTTGGCCACGCATAGGCTGGTGGATACACGCACGACGCAGCACCCGATCGCGAGTGTGTGTGTGCTGCCGGGTCTGTCGCTGCTGGCCGCCGGCAGCACGGCAAGGCATATCACGCTGCATGACCCGCGCGCGAGCGCGAGTGAGGTGGCAGCGAGTACGCTGAGGGGCCATACGAACTGTGTTGCGGCGCTGTGTGCGGGCGGGGAGAGTGAGTGGATGATGGCGTCGGCGGGGCATGATGGCACGGTGAGGGTGTGGGATGTGAGGGCGGCGGGCAGTGGGAGTGTGTTTGTGATTAGGAGGGAGGGGGAGGGGGTTAGTGGCAGGGAGAAGGTGTTTGCGGTGGAGTGGAGCGAAGTGGGGATTGTGAGTGGGGGGGAGGATAAGAGGGTGCAGATCAATGAGACGCCGAGGGGCGGGGATGAGAAGGGGGTGGAGGAGAGTGTGGAGTCGAGGTTGTAGATGGGGGAGGGGATGGGGGTTTGTATATTAGAATAAAAGTAATGATTTTGTTTCTGGTTTTGTCTTCGTTTCATTGTGATTGTGCATAGAGTGATACTCCTGTTATATATTTGCAATCAATGCTCCTACCGTTCCACATTACTTGATATTTTGATATTCACTTTATGAGTCCGGATTTTTAGTCCTTATATCGAGAGAGGTTCTGCCATCTCCACGCAGCGCCAGTGAGGGCGAGTGATAACCTATGATTACGCACCCTCTGTCTTTCACAATGCACTCGTATTACATGGCATGCATTTATGTTCTCTTTGTTTCTTCTAGCGACATTTTTTCGCTTCCATTGTGTCTCCAGGTAACTTGAATGCTATCGATTCTCCAAGAGTGGGGTTGCTTGGGTGTGTCTATCTGGCTGCACCTGAAACCACGCCTTTTGGCCATGGGCTTCCCTCGTTTTTCAACGTACGGCCTTCTCAACAACCCAGTTTCTCGCCATGCCTCTTCTAAGAGCCCTGATTTCCTGCTCTAGCCTTCGCGTTTATATGACTACCATCCTTCGAATAACTTGAGAAAATAGATCTTCCCTAACCACGCATCTAACGTCGCCGCATGCAATGTGTCAATGATCGCTCAGTAAGAAACCATCCATGTAACCGTAACACTCCTCTTACTGCAATATAATAGAAGCTAGCACCCACAGAGCATGTTACAAGATTCAATATCCACCACCCCCAGCAATATACTAATTAAGCTTTCAAGTAGAGTAGAAAGGGGATAAAGAACCACATGCACACCCACCTCCTCTATAAATATCAATACATCCCCCCCACCCCTTGCATCCCCCCATACTCCCTTCCCCTCTCATACTCGCCATAAACTAACCACCACAGAAACCCACCCCCCCAAAAAAACACCAAACAACCATGGCAACCCCCCGCGTCACCGCCTCCGCAATCCTCATCGGCCTCGCCGTCTCCAGCATCATGAACGGCGTCTCGCACACCGACAACCGCCCCTCCTCCACCTCCACCAACAAGCCACTAACAAAACCGTGGGAGCAGGGGAGCAAGAAGCCACTCATATCCAAAGCCCAGCAGACCCACAAGGCGCGGGCAGTGCCGTTCAAGAGCCAGCACAACGAGCCGTGGAAGGGCTCGAGTGGCTTTCCGGGGTCGCAGGCGCCGCTGAGGGGTGGTAGTGCGAGACGTTAGAGAAAGGGTGTTTAGTTTTGCTTATTGCTTCTTGTATTAGTTGTTGTTGTTGGTTATTCGTAGTTGTTAGTTTTAGTTTTTTTTTTTAATAGAAGCTGATTTCTTTGTCTTTATTCCACGTACGCTCAACCGTACCTCTGTATAAGCGTGAGGAGACCCACATGTCCACATACCTACCTACCTGCCTACTCACAAGGTTACAAACCATAGTATATTAATCTATCCACAGCCTTCGAAGAGGCACACCACCCAACCAAACGAATATCCCCTCCGAGTGATACCCCATGAAGCAGCGCCCTCAACACATACTATGTCCACAACAGCCGTGACGGATCAGGTCATATGGTACAGTTTCCGGGGACACAATGGCTCGACAAGGCTACCGCTCTGCTCCTAACCGTATCCACAGCCTAGAGTAGTAGCAATGCGTGGTGGATGCATCGAACTTTATAGCCAGCCATACCAGCTGTTGCCGGCACCGTGCAGTCATGTATGGGCTACGTATGATTTGCCTCCATTCTCAGCTTCCCCTTTCTACTATACCTAGTAATTATTGTTCCTTGCTCTCATACTTTATCTCTCCATCCCCGTAGCTAGAAAAAAAAAAAGAGAAAAAAAGAACAAAAGGTACTGCAGCGACTTATTACTGATTGAGCGCTACTACCCCCACCCCCGGTTTGAACCCAGGACCTTACCCTGGGTAAACACGCGGTGTCTAACCTGACGAGCAGTCTAACCACTAGACCACTCGCCCATGGTGGATGCTGTGCTGGGAGTGATACTTGAGCTTGGCGGTGTGCCAAGATGTAGGTTGTGTATGAAATCGATCCCACTGGCCTCACAATCGCAACTTAGACAATTTGGTTTCTCTCTTGACCCTTGGTGTAATCTTTAGAGTTCTATGGCCGCTGGGATATTGTTGATCACCATGAGTTTTTTTTAAAAAAAAGGACGTAAAAGTGTATTATTAAAGGAAATCTATCTATCTATCTACTTGTAAGATATCTAAAGCTTCTCGAAAACCGCCTGCATCCAGCATCGATACATCTTCAGCTGCCGCTTTCGGTTTACGAGCAGACGTCTATCCACGCCCATCTCCCTTGCCACAAAGCCGCCAAAATCGCCTTCCGGGAACGTTTGCTGCTGTTCCTCCTCGGTCTTCTCTACCGTTGTGATTGGCTCCTCCTGTGTCTCTTCTTCCTCTTGCGGCACCTGTTCCTCGACCACAGGTTTCTTCTCCCTCTCTTTTATTTCCCCGTTCTCGGTCTTGTAATTGACCTCCTCAGTCTCTCCTGCTTCACCGGTAAATATCTTCCTGAGCTCCCACTGCTCAAAGAAGTACACCCTCGTCCCGTCACCTCTAACATAGAAGTTCTCGTCGAGATACCTTCCCGCCTTGAACCTGACCTGGGCCAAGTCACCTCTCCCATAGTCCCTGAACAGGACCTTACCGCCCTTCTTCAGCATCCGTCTAACATTCCCCAGCGCCGCACTCCACTGCTCGGGCGCCAACGCAGAAAACACAAACACCATGATCACCACATCCACCGTCCCCTCCTCCACGCCCACCGGCAGCGTATCCGGCTCCGACAAATCATACACCTCTGCCCTGACCCTCCCACTCCCCACATGCTCCGCATACAGCGGCTGCGTCCTCACCACCTCCACCGCCTTCGCGCTAAAATCACACCCCACGATACGGAAGCCCTCATTCGCATTCTGCTTCAGCACCGGAAACAGCGTATTCCCCGCGCCGCACCCCAGCTCCACCATGACCACCTCGCCCGCGCCCTCGCGCGTCGCCTCCGCCAGGATGGGAAACTCCTGCTGCAGCCACTTGCGGTCCTTGAAGAAGTTCTCCTTGTTGTTCTTGTAGAAGAGGTCCCACCACTTTGCGGGGTCGCTCATGAAGCGCTTCTTGTCGCTCGCGCTGACGGGCTTGCTCCGCTGGCTGGCGTACTGCGCCGCGCTGTAGGCTTTGTAGGCCGGGTCCGTCTCGACGTGGTCCCAGGCGTTGAAGGTGAAGACTTCGTCTTCGGAGAGGAGCAGGCGCGAGCCGAATTGGAAGGGCGCGGACACTTTGGGGCCGTCGGGGTGGACGTGCGCTGGGGCGGCGGGTGCAGGGGCTGGGGCATCTTCTATGGCGGGTATGGTTTCTACGGTGATGGGGGTGGGCTCGGAGATGGTGAGCTTTGCGAGGTCGGGGAGCTGCTGGTCATTGACTGCTGCCGCGGGGGCGGGCGCGGAGTCGACGATGAGCATGGTTAATAGTACAGGTATGTGCGTTCTTTGCTGGTTTCTGTTTTGGGGGTTCTTTAACTGTGTGGTGGTGAGTTTTGTGGCGGTTTGTGTTATAGAGCAGCTGGTATAAGAGTTTTAGGAATTATTTTTATTTCACATGCCCCGCCGTGGGGTCTTGTAACCAGAGCCTTATCCCTGCTCAGCGATCATTGGCACGCGGTATTGAATTTACTGTGGAGCAGCGGATTATGGGGTCTGAAGCATTACAGCGGCATGACAGCTCGAGAATGCTCTGGATTAACTGACCGTATCGAATATCTAGGTCAGAAAAAGGCAGATTTTACTAAGATTGCTATGACGGCGCTCTATGTAGCTTAAATGATGCCAAAATATTGCCTTACAGATACCTATTACCTCCATTGAGCGCACATAGTGGTGTCAGTGCTCAAAGATATCTCGGCAAGGAATTACATGTAATACAGAGTCAGCCAAGCATCAACATTTGAGTCGTTCTCTCGATATAGTTGTTATCGTTTCTGTATTCATGACGAGTGATAGTACATGATTCAACATACGCCAAATCCTCCGACCAAGGCTTATTTACATGTATCTATCACCTACGCAAACCAACCTCAGTAAAAGTTAACGCCAAAAACAAACAAAAACTTTTGATTTATGAAAATATATGCACATTGTAAAGAAGTCCCGCTGTCCATCCTAAACGCCCTAATACTTCCATAACCGTACCGCCTTTAAAAGCCAAATATTAGCATCGCTCCTAGAGTCTCACACAAGGGATAATAGCATACCTTGTCTTTACCGCCACTCGCAACCTTCTTGCCGTCTGGGCTCCAGTCGACTGCAAACACCTCGTCCTGATGTCCTGGGAGATCGGTGTGTAGTTTTCCAGTCTTGACGTCCCAGATCTTGAGGGTTGTGTCCTTAGACGAAGAGACGAGAAGTCTCGAGTCGGCCGAGAAACAGCTATTTTTCACGCCCCGTTAGAAGGTTGCCATACTCAGCTAGATTGGGGGAATTGTGCGTGCGGGCTTACCATTGATACACAGGCGCCACATGCCCGCGAAGACTGAAGATGAACTTCCCGTCTCTGGCATTCCACAGCTTGACGTGGTTGTCAAATGAGGCAGAGGCAATGAGCCTTCCGTCGGGTGAGAACGTCACATGGTTCACCAATTTCTGGTGACCCAGCAGCCTTGCAATGGGCTTCGTTCCCTTCTTTGGCTCCCAGAGGTACATTGTAAAGTCGTCGCTAGCAGTAACTAGCCTCTCGACAAGCTCACCGCCAATAGTGGCAGCCTTCTCGTACCTCTCCTTTGCCTTTGCGACCTTCTCCTCATCCGTGGCCGGCACCTGCCCCGTATGGTCATGGTACGCCGTCCTCAGCACAAAGTCCGTCGACAGCGCCAGATGATTCACCCAATGCGCATGCGCATTCAAACTATGCACCAACTTCCCATCCGCCGCACTCCAAATCTTGATCGTCTTATCTTGACTCGCCGAATAGATCCACCCCTGTCCACCCCACTTGACACAAGTAACCGCCGCCGAGTGGCCCGACATACACGTCTCCACCCTGCGCAGCGTCGCATTCCACACCCGGATCGTCTGGTCCTTGGACGACGACACAAACCGCGCATTACTCGGGTCGGACTGCAGATGATACGGCTCCCACGACAGGCCCGTGATCCACTTAGTGTGGCCCTTCATCGCGTCGCCGAGCGGCTTCCCCGTCTTTGCGTCCCACAGGCGCAGCGTGTTGTCCATGCTCCCCGTCGCAATGTACTTCGTGTCGGGGCTCCAGGCCACGGTGAGAACCCACGACTTGTGCCCCTTGAGCGTGTGCATGGGGGTCTCGGTGTCGCAGTCCCACACGCGGGCCGTGCCGTCGCCGCTGCCCGTCACCATGCGCGCCGACGAGGCGGGCGAGAACTGTGTTGCGAGGATAGCGTCGCCGTGGCCGGTGATTGCTGCTGAGTAGCGGGAGACGGCGCGGACGCGGAAGACGGCCTGCGGCGTGTAGACGAGGGTGAGGACGTCCTCGGTGGTCTTGTGGCCGGGCTTGAGGACGGAGGTCCACAGGTCGTTGGTGATGTCGATTATGGGCGAGTCGGCGTTTGTGAGGGAGGTCAGGAGGGAGAAGGTGTATGGGACTCGGTCATCTTCCTGTGGAATTGGGGGTTGAGTTAGTGGGTTTGTTCTGTTCTGTTCTGAGGGTCAATGATCGGAGGTAGGGTAGAACGTACTGTCCCGAGAAGCTTGTTCACAAGTAGATCTAGCTGCTGCGCCGTGGTGTTTCCGGGGATATGGAGCTCGCCGCCCAGTTGCGCGCCGGTGTCGGAGGCCTGGAGGTGCACGACGACGTTGGGGACATGTTCGGGAATGAGGTCGATTTTCTGCTGTGCCTGGGAGATCTTTGACTCTGCGAGCTTCTGGCGCTTACTTTTGGGGGGCAGAACTGTGGCCATTTTTGGGTATTAAAGATTGAGGGTATTGGGTGGAGTTGTTTTCTATATATTTTTTTTTGGTTGGCGGGGTGAAATGGTGATCTGCGAAGCTGGTGAGAGGAATTAATTTTTCGAGATCACGTGCGGGAAGAGCCGCAGCTTATCGGGAGGCTAGGCTGCTTGTAGGATTAGCGCGGAATGCGCATGCGTGCTTGGCAGGAAATTCGAGAGCTTCGAGAGTACCTACACCGTCTACGTGGGTTATGTCTTCCAAGGAGAGATATCTTTTGGCCGTGGTCTATTCGATTCCGGTAACAGCAAAATTGCCACATACCAGACCCGACCTCTTACTAGATTATAGCGAGGCTGTTGATTCTTTAATCCTCTCCCCGCGGTGACTTCGAATTAATGTAGAGGATCGAAACCATTTGCAGCGCAGCGGTGAATGGCGAGTACTGGTAGCGATGGGTAAGAAATGGGGATACATGTAGATACATGTAATCTATCAATCATAAAATGGATGTGTATACATCTCCGACTCTTAACTTCTGTATGCTACATGTACAGTATCAAAGGTATGGATGTACCTGCATACTCTGGTTCTTGCACTTCTGGTACAGGCATGTATGCACAGATGTCGGAGTACATGTATCCTAGTGGCACTCACACCTTACCGCACCACCGCGGCCCGCCCTGCATTCCCCACCCGGTCCATCTCGAATCTCAATCAGGGTAACAACCAACCCTCAACACTCTCCAAAAAAACTCACAACGTCATATCTCCATCCACATACGCCCCAAATGGCGTCTACACAGGCACCCCCACCGTCTTCTGCCAACCCGCGAAAGCGCGGACCACCCGGGCTCCCAGTCGGCTCCGGCAACGAGCGCAAACGTGCAAAGTTCCAAGATGCCCGCACCATTGCAGTCCAGAGCTCCAACCCGGCCCTCAGGTCTGGGGAACTCGACGTCAATGCCTTCATCCAGTCCCGCGAATTTGAGATTGCGGCCCTCCAGGAGGCCATGAAGAACTCGAAGCGTGCAAGCAACAAACGGGCCTTCCAATTGGTACCCAGGGACATGAGACGACGCACGGCAAGTCACAATGTCAAGAGGGTGCCCAAGAGACTGCGAAAGAGGGCGGCGCACGAAATGCATGAAGACAACACCCCTACGGTGACTGCCCGCCGACGAAAGTCTGCAGGTTTCATGCGTCTGCGCCTTGAGACAGCCAAAAAGCTCAAGAATATGTCTACCAAGCGAGAACTCAACGCCGAGATCCTCTCGAAAACTCCCTTGTCACGTAGCACGATCAATGAGCTACGAAGACCACCACGGCCGGCAAATAAGTTCAGGAAAAGGCAGAGGGAGAAGACGTGGTTGCCGACGCACTTGTGGCATGCAAAGAGAGCAAAGATGGGGGTAAGGTGGAGATTCGCCGTAGTGGAAACACCAACTGAGAAGTGTTATCGCCCAACGCATAGAGCAAGCCAGACGAAGGGTGCCGTGGCATGGGACCAAAGCTACTTTTCGACAGTCATGCTGAGAGGGAGTGAAGAAAATTGCAAAGAGGTGATTGGAAAGGTTTGTGGGAAGGCAGTGGGCCCATTGAGCAAGCTTGTTGTGAGTGGAAAGAGGACATGCGAGGCATGGATTTACAAGGCAGGGGAGTATCCTACAGGGCCAATTGCACCAGTTACCATGATCTGGTGTGTGCCTAAAGACGTCAATGAGCACAGGAAAATATTTATCAGGGTCCACCCATCAGCCTTCCTTGAGCTATGGGACACCCTCCTTCCACTCTGCAAAGATCACAAAACATTCATTGAAGACCTGCGATTCGAAATCGGCAGTATCGAAATCACTGGGCCGTCTGCCACTGCTGCACTCCTCTCCATTCTCAAACCTACTACCCCCGGCTCACCGGATTCTCCAGAAGGCATATGGCCCCAACTACATGGGCTTACCAACCCTTCTTTTCTTCCCCTGGGCTCCCTGCTCGCCTTCACAATCAGTGACCCACGCCTACGTCTCCCTCCACGTCCCTTCATCCCCCCACCCTCCACAACACCCGAAGAAGATCTTCTTAACCTCTCTCGTACCTGGCCGCCCGACAGCACACTCCCACCATCGCCTCTTTTCCTCCGCGAAGCACGCGCAACCGCTGTCCGCTTACAGTCATCGCAGCGCAAGATAGGCCGCCGAAAGGCAGCCGCACCACCAGGTGAATATATCCCCGCACTACCCACAGACCCAGAGATCCCACTTCTCTTATTTGCATCGCACCGTCAGATGCCTGTTCGTGGGGTATCACAAGCAATAGGGTCGTGGACCCTGATGCTACCATGGAAGTGGGTCATGCCAGTGTGGTATGGGCTCATGAATACCTCGAGTGATATCAGATTTGGGGGCATAGACGAGTTGAGGCAGGTTTTCTTCGAGAGGGGCGAAGGGTGCTTCCCCGACGATTTTCCAGGCACGGCAGCAGGGGCAGAGGAAGAGAGGAGGAAGGGGGCTGAGAGGAAAGAGGTGTGGGAGAAGAGGCCGAGGGGCAAAAAGGTAGTTTGGGAAAGGGTCTTGTTGGGAGAAAAGAGAGGCGAGTTGGGTGATGGATTTTTATGCGATTGGGGGTGGTTGGTTGGTGACAGGAAGGAGAAAGTTGCTGAGAAGGGGCAGGTCGAGAAGAGTACTGCGGAGACTGCGGGGATTGTGGAGACTGTGGGGGCTGCGGATAGCATGGACATAGATCCACCTGCTCCTCCTCCAGCTGAACTAGCTCATCCCCCCGAACCGGTTCCTTCTATTGAACCAGCACCTCCAGTAGAGCCAACTCCTTCAGTCGGGTCAACCCATCCCGCCGAACCAACTCCCTCCCCAACAGTAGTTCCCAAATACTGGCAAATACCCGCGCACCTGATCCATCCTCTTCTTACCTCCACCGATAATCTTTCTAGCACCCTTTCCACACTTCCGCCTGCTACACTCGCCGCTGGCCTCTTCACTGTAAAACTTACCTCCCTACAGCGCGGTACACCCTTATCCCGCGCACGAATCTACGCTCTCCCTAAGTCAAATCCAGAGTTGTGTGCACAATGGAAATCGCTCCTACCGCAATCCAAAGCAAAGAAAGACTCCAACCTTAAGAATGGTAAGAAGTCAATACCACGGGCAGGACAAGAGGGATATCCGCATGTGCCAGGTGAAGAGGAGTGCATAGGCTTTGTGACTACGGGTAACTTCAATCTCAAAGAGGGAATGGGCATTGGGATTGGCGCCTTGGCCTTTGGCAAAGTTTTTCGGGAAGGGAAGAAGGGGACTGTGGGAAGAGTTGTGATTGTGAGGAGTGTAGGCGAGAGCCTGGGCAGGCTGGCCAGATGGGATGTTGTTTAATTAGGCTGGGTACCGGAGTTACACGAATAGAGAAATGGCATTGTGTAAGCCTCCTGTTTTTTTAGGAGGGGCCTTTTGTTTTTGACTTATTTGGACTCCTTTGAGTGTTGGGGGAATGGTCATTATAGTATCAATATTCCCGCTATCAATACCCCATAGCATCATTATCCATCGTATATTTTACTCCTTAAATAGACATAATTTATCTATCACCGATATTACCAAAAGAAAATGAAACAAGGGATTCCAGTCGAACCACGCAAATATTGCAATATGGTGGCTCATTGATCTACAAACCCCACTAGCTTGGCCTAAGTTTAATGAAACTTTGAACACGCTTTCCCTTGAAGTGAGGCACAAAGTATTCTTTCCACATTATATCCCTTTCCCTATCAACAGCCCCGTCATCATCAACACACAAATTTCAATAGTATCTCAGGAGTTGGTAACTTACGTTGTCTCGTGCAACTTGAGATCAAACTTCCGAAAGATATGGGCAAACCCAATAGTCAACTCGCACCATGCAAGACTTTGAAGAAAGTCAGAATCCATCGATACCTTTGCATCCCCAGAGGAATAATAACGACTCACTTGACACCAAGACACATTCGTGGGCCCCGGGAAAACGGCACAAGCCAATGCTCGAGATGCTTGGAATTCGGTTGCAGCCACCTCTCGGGGATGAAACGGTGGGCTTCTGGAAAGATCCCTTCGTTCATATGGACATATGGGGAGCTCATCCCTACAACCGTCTAAAAAGCGACATTAAGCAACGTTTTGGGGAGGTATAGCTAGAAGAGTACTTACTCCTCCTGGGATATACGCCCCTCCTATTGTGGCACCGGATGGTGGCACTACTCGGGGTAATGCTGATACGACTCCATGTGAGACCCTCAAACTTTCCTTTATGACTGCATTCTACGGCACGTCAATGGAGGTTCACGAGCTCAGGTAAATGTTTGCATACTAGGTATGGCATTTTTTCCAGTTCTTCATATCCGAGTGACTTTTCAAGCACTAGCCAGTTTTTCTTAAGCTCATTAAAGAGCTTTTCGTAAACATTAGGATTATTCAAAACATGAAACCCTCCTACTGCAAGAGTATTTCCCACGGTGTCACTACCTGCGATTAGCAGAGCCATGGCCTCATCGAAAAGACCATGACGAGTTGGCAGTGACTCCCCGGCCTTTTTGTTTTCGAGATCAAGAAGTCTATGGTAAATGACATGATCAGCAATGGCTGGTTTTTTGGATTGGCAAGGAATCTATCAAGATGGTCTGAAATAGACTATGATATATGTCAGCACTCGTACAATCTTGTACTTGTGAGAACAAGAGAAGTTACGTTTTGAACCCCCATAATACCGGCGGTTTCAGGGCTCATTAATAACGAGAGCCACGTTGGAGTGTGCATAAAAATCCACTGAACTGGTCGGAAATGCTTGAAAACCCAGTACATTGGCAGAGCGACTTCGACGCCCACTAGAACAGGGTGACGAAATCCTTTGTGATCCAGCGCATTAAGAGACTCTGCAAAGCAGAAGGACGTGATGATATCCATTGCTGTGCATCGAAATGCAGAAGAAATGTCAGCAGCGTCGCTGGTATCATGCTATTCGGTAAGTTTCTCGCATAGTTTTTCCACCTAAAATTGTCTTAGAAAAGCGTATTAATTCACCAAGAGCATAGGAACCTCCTCAATAACTAGTCCTTGCAACGATATAATATTACGACGAGAGCAGTGGACTCAAAACCTCTCTTCGACGGCGCGAGAGATTAGGGTCAATAAACCCGAAAGAAGAATCATTCTCGCCAAAGCATTGGTACATGAACTCGTCTTTTATCATTCTCGAATTACTGCTATAGATTTCGTGGTAAACCTCTGGTTCACTGAAATGGAGCTAGTGGTCTATTGTCAGACAGTTGCAGAATAAGGGGATTTCCAAAGAATTGTTACCTCGTTTGGTCCGACCCTTACAATTTGACCTTCGCCATGTGTTAACTTAAATACAAGCGAGAGGTTTTCAAGCAACTTACCATATTTCTTGTGTAGCTTCTTTACTTGATGAGCGAGCTCACCGCCCATCCATACATCGTAGTAGGTTTGATACCATACTGTGGCGGCTGCTAGTTTGGGTCCCGGATACTTCGAAAGAGGATGAAAGAAGACTCTGTAAAGACTTATTCCCAATACGCAGAGAATATAACCGATTATAGCGGCCGATAATAATGAAAATCCGAATACCTTCTGCTCCAAAATCATTCTGATGGCTACTGATATGGTAGAAGGTGTGTTGCGCGCAAAATGCTCTTCAGAACTGGGGAGTACCCTATGTATTAATATATTCCATGCGAGTACATATCTGATCTACCCTTGAAAGGCTCTCTTTCAGTTGGGTGCAGAATCTCATAGGTATGTATGCGCGGCTACAGAGGAGTGAGTAACGTGAATGAGACATCTCCACGGCAAAATACTAGGTTCTTTTCGAGACCAGGCAGTTTAACGCCTCGACCAAGAGATTTATCTGGGAGCACATGTTCACTATTTGTGTAACAACCATTTCAAAAGAGCCTACGACTGGTCGAGACTCTTACATCTGGAATTCCCATTATATGCATGCAAGGGTTCGAATCCGATATCTTGCAATTGATCACGTATACCTTCTACATGCAGGTACTGCAATATGTAAGCAAACCCACCTCATAAACCATAAATATATACCATGTAAGGACTAATTATCTTGTGAATTCATTATCTTCTTAGGGACACGGAGGGCATCAAAGTACCTAATTTTAGCTAAATACCAAGCTTCTTTATAAAATTGCCCGCAGATAAACGTCGACCTTGATATACACATGAAACTACATGTACGTACTATACTTGCTGTAAATTCTCGCGATAAGTAACCTAGAGCTCTGGTGAGGGTCTATATCTTCTTGGCCCTTGGTAAATAGCTTCAATCGCAAGATCTCCTACCTGCCTATCTTGACCTGTGCTCGGCACTCAAACTTAACAACTCTAGACCTTAGTGCCATGAGACACACCGGATGTCTGTCCAATAAGATGATAGGAATTCGAATCGGCTATTATGGCCGTGGCCTAGAGAGCCGAGACATTACTAAAGGTCACTGTTTCAGTGATTACCATATTCGCACAGATCCACCTGAATTCAGTTGGTTGTAGTTAGAGTAGATGGGAGTATCGAAGGATGTTTAGGCTATTTTCAAAGTTTTCTGCTAATTGCAACGTTGATTCACATCACCAATGACATTTATTTGGAGAGACGGCTTTGATGTTCCCAAGTGTGGGGGAAATTTTGCCATATCCCAGCTTTGTCAGTGGTTCAGACCTGGGTGCAAACATATATGCATGAATGGATTATATAATTCTAGGTATGGGGCCAGCTACAGCTGTCAAGCGAGGCATCTGAATCTCTCCAAGGAAAAGACACATGCATGTAGATATATGCAGCGACCCTTATTTTAAGCGAATGGGAGAAATAAGGAGATCTAGCTATCTGTTTACGCAAGTCTCCATTCCACTAGTACCAATTGTTTGTGCAGCGGTGGTATAGACGGCTATGGTGTTTTCATGCAGAAACCTGTAGTGCATGTATGTGGGAGATCTATGTAGTGGGTTTGTTCATGAATTGTCACTCGTCCATTCGTACATAGGTCTAGTAAGTCGGCTTTTTTTTAACACCTAGACCGCGGCCGAGCCATATACATTTAGGGCGCTGTATATCAAAATTTAAACTCTTAAATTCAATATAAGGGAATTTGAACACAATATTAGTTCCACTCCATATGAATCTTGGTCATTTGTTGGTGGTGGTTTCATTACATGTAGCTACATGTATAGCTCGTAGAGAAGCGATAAAGCCACTTTTAGGTTTAATTGAGAGTTGGAAATATGGCTTCGACATTGGGAAAAGGACACTTTAAGTTTTGATATTTGGGACTCATAATGCCACGATACCACTAAATCATATCATAACCAGGCTAGTTGCGTCTCTTCACATTTTTGTCCTCTCTTCCTACTTTTTGCATCGTTTCCACTCTTTTGCTCGCAATTAGTCAGCCCTGTACGATTCACTCAAACCACTGATTCTGATTATTCAAACCATCTGTAAATCATAGCAAGAATTTACGCAGCTCAAGTACCGGCAGCATGAACGAATCACCCATATCTCAGATGCAACCTGTGAGCCGAGTCTCTACCATCTCTCGGAGGCTCGCCTCAAAAGTACTTTCAATGATTGAGAAGTATGAATCCCTTTCTCATTCAAATACCCGCAACCAACCACTACACCAGCAATCAACAAATCCTGCTTCTCGGTCTGCTTTTCGCCGCCTTGGGAAGTCCGTCCTTGCTCGAGCCAGGCTTTTTGTCGAAAATGCCGCTGCGCAAACTACGCCCAACAGGAGCCTAGGGAGGACGGTACCACCAAGAAGAAGATTTTTGAAGTTTTCAAGTAAAAAAAAGAAACACCGTGCCACCAAAAATGGGAGCAATGGCTTTGATCACGACGGTACAATCAGTAGCAACAGCACACTCACAGAAACTGGAAGCAGTATAACCGCATCCACACCTCCCGTGGCTCGAATTTTACCATCGTCGTTCTTCAAACAATTGGCATCGTCAAATGAGTCGTCAACTAGAACAAAATCAAAGTCACGCGGTCAGCGGAGAAAGAGAGGAATAAGCCCAAAGATCGGGGATCTACGTTTAGATATGGCCAGGAAGGAATCCAACTTTTCTGAGATAACGAGGAAGCTTATGCCCCCAAAGGTATCCGTACGAGACCTCAAGGAACGATTTCAAGAGGCAGAGAGAGCATATACGCATAAAGACTTGAAGTTGGAGGAACTTGATGGGTCCTCTAGAGCTAGAGTTCGACTACGTGGAAACGTAATCCCTAAGGAGGGAAAGGCAACATCTAAACACTTTTTACGTGAGAAATTGATGTCGGGAGGTATAGATGGTTCTTTTACGAGCTTTGCAGAAGATCAAAACTCGGGATATCGGGATAATAATAGCGATTTCTTTTATGAGGCTTTCGATAAAGAGTTTGTCCCCGTAACTATATATACCCTACTTCCACATAAGCTTCTTGCTTTTGGAGCTAGACCCGCACGTTCGCTCTTAAGGATATATACTAACATTGACGACAGAGGTCTTCATTTATCAAACTGCGAGTCTACTGGGTTGATGTGTAGAGATGACATGAACTATCTGAATACGGAGTATCATTGCATGGCGGATGGTTCACTTTCAAACTTTGGGTACTTCTTACTTCGGCTGGAATCCGAAGCTGGAACGCCTAGCTCGAAATCGGAAACGGGATCAACAAATGAAAATGTCTTTTTCACAGCACCTATGCCCAGTACTGGGCTAGATTCTGCTCAGGGGACGAAGAAGATGTATAGGAAAACACCGCCACCAAGCGGATTCTTTTTCCATCCGGAAAATACTAAGAATGAGGTTCAGAAAGTTAGTGAAGAGAATGAAGCAGATTTTTATGCTGCTCGCCACTCTATAGCCGTGGATATTGTGAGCCCGAAGCCGATGAATGCGGTACAGGCTGCGCAACTTAGGAGCATGGTATTTCGGTACACTTAAATCTCAGGAGACGAAAAGTTGTTTATTTGATGAATGAACACATAAAAGTATACGTATCGTAAGAGATGGAATTGAGTAGGGCTTGTAAAAGTTCTGTCTTTTGGTACGTAAATAAGGCCTTGAATATAAAGACTCCTACCTTTATGGGGCTAAGTACATGCTAATGGTTTTGATGCTAAAGGAAATAAATGGGTCCCCTTCTAGTCTTTACTATTGATATAGGTCTATTATTAAGATTTCCAGGGCGGTAGTTACGATATTGTTATAGACAATTATTGAAAGGTTTTTGTGTATGGCTATGTGCCTTTTGGCGAGTCCATAGAATTTTGTTACGACTTCATTGTTAAACTACATGTACCTTAGAGCGTTGATTATCCCCTACACTTATATCCCCTACACTTATATGTACGACTACGTATAGTTTTAGTTCTAATAAAAGTTTTTTTTTTGAGTGAATAGCCCGTACCAATCCTGACATTTATATAAATGACCCAACCTGTTGAGAAGATCACTGCACAAGAACCTAACACAACAATCTAATTATAACATGGTACCAAAAGAAGGTCATGTACGTTCTCATGTTTAAATATTTTGGTTGACTCGATTCTTGGAGCCTCTTTGTCCACGATTCGCTGTTTCTAGTGGAAAGTTGACCTTTCGGTAGGCTGATCGCGATCGCTCCCGCATCAAAAACATTGTTCTAAAGAATATTTAATTCATCCTAGGGACTCATTAATCACGCATATAACCAGAATATGTATTCTATTAAGACATCGGTCTTATCAAAGAGTACTTATCTTTTTTTTCTTAAATTAGTCTATCACTATCTCTGCATTACTGTGATATTCGCATGTTCATTCTCCCTCAGCTACCGAGAGTCTTAAAGTCTACATATTATGTAGACCGCGATGTATACTACATGTACTTAATCTGGCCGAATCATAATATATCACTCGTGGCGGTGGCACCGCCGAATCTAATTAGGAGTCGAGAGCTGTCAAAAGAGACTCGATTATTGGTTGCTCTATTGACTACTAAAATTTCAAAACAGAGCCCTTTGTAAATACAGTAGGCTGTACTGTATCTGGCATAAGACTTCTGAGTGAAGCTTCCATTATGGTATTCTTGGCTATATAGTACGTAGTGGCTCATAGGACCGTCTCTAACCGTTGTATATAGATGGCTTTTCAAGTGATAGCGAAACATAAAATCTCGACACACCTGCGGCTGTGCGGATAGGTTATAGATGTCTTTCTGTGTTGATTGATTAACCAATTTAGCCCCTATCATCTTTGAGGATCGTTAGTCTCTCTAGTTCTCGGTTTCGCTGTTTCTGATAGGATATGAAATGAGTGCTGTTCTGCTGCATCATAGTGCAACTTTGCCGAATCATAAGTATCTCGAGCTATGTAGATGCAAATATAGAGACCTATGTAAGCTGGCGGACCACCGCTGGTTGAGCCGTGATATGGGCTGAGCCTGTTGCTTTAAGCTTGTCCTCCGAGTTTATAAAACCCAGGACGCAGTCTCCGGGCAGAGATCAGCCATCAGATCCCAATTCGGTGGGGAAAGGTTGTGAATGTAGCAAATATTCGAGTGGAATGTAGTACAAAGACCAAAGGGCTTTCAACCAGCTGTTCTCTCAAAGGGTTTCTCGGGTGGGTACATGCCGGTGTGGCCGGGTTGAGCCGCTTCTAGTGCTGTGATGGAAAATGCCAGTTCAAACCTCAAATTAAAGGCCTGAGCCCAAATGTTTTTTTATCGCAACATTAACATTGAGTGTAGCAGATCAGCAGGTTGTAAAGCCTGTTATTTACCATGCAGCTTGCAGCGAAACTGATAATATCTTTATTCAATATTACAATTTTATGTTCCGGTGTCTCATCCTCAGTTTACCGCTGTGAATAGACATGTCTATTCTGGTCGCTTATTCTATCACCGCGGGGTTCAATGATCAATAGGCTCATCATGAAGAAAAAGAAAAACTGATCGAAGAAAAAAAAAATCCTTGCGGGCCAAGCCACTCGTTCCCCCACTATCCCTCAAGCTGCGACCCTGGTCTGCCCCACCATAGCTAGACTACATATATTTACGGGCACCCGCCATCGCCTCGTCGACTCCCATCACTCGTCAATTGCCCTTGCCAGAGAAGAAAATGTCCGTCATTCAGTCCCTATCAAACCTCGCCATGTCCGCTGTTCCCCAGACCAAGAAGAAGTGCGGTACGATACAATTGCCCTCTGAACACCCGCTACAATTCGCAATTGACTCATAGCTGAATCTAGGTGTTCTTGGATGCACCGGTTCCGTCGGCCAGCGCTTTATTCTCTTGCTCTCGGAGCATCCTTACTTCGTTCTCCACGCCGTCGGTGCCTCCTCTCGCTCGGCTGGAAAGAAGTACAATGATGCCACAAAATGGAAGCAGGCACAACTCATGCCCGCCGGTGTCAGGGATATGATTGTCAAGGAGTGCAAATCTTCAGAATTTGCAGACTGTGATGTGGTCTTCTCAGGCCTGGACGCAGACTACGCTGGTGAAATTGGTATGTTCTCAGACTTAGACTCGAGGGAAAACATGAGATGGATGACTCATATACATTCTCGACAGAGGCCGAATTCCTTGCAAACAACCTCGTCGTCTTCTCCAATGCCAAAAACTACCGCCGTGAGCCCATGACTCCCCTCATGGTCCCTCTCGTCAACACCGACCACTTCTCCGTGATCCCCGCCCAGCGAGCTCACCACAAGCTCAACAAAGGCTTCATGGTCACTAACGCTAACTGCTCCACCACTGGCCTCGTCGTCCCCCTAAAGGCTCTCCACGACAAGCTCGGCGGAATCACAGCCGTTACAGTCACTACCCTCCAGGCCATCTCCGGCGGTGGATACCCCGGTGTCCCGTCAATGGACATCCTTGACAACGTCGTTCCTTACATCGGCGGTGAGGAGGAGAAGATTGAGTGGGAGACTGGGAAGATTCTCGGCGCTGTCAATGCCGACGCAAATGGCTTCGATCTCCTTAACTCCGTTGCTGTGTCAGCGCAGTGCAACCGTGTTGCTGTTATGGACGGACACACTGCGTGTGTGTCTGTACGCTTTGCTCAGCACCCGCCTCCCACGATCGAGGAGATCAAGACGGCGCTCCGGGAGTACACCTGTGAGGCACAGACCCTTGGGTGCCCAAGTGCGCCTAAACAAGCTATCGTGGTGATGGAGGAGCAGGACCGACCACAGCCAAGGTTGGACCGTAATACTGAGGGTGGTTATTCAGTCTCTGTTGGTAGGATTAGGACCGATAATGTTCTGGATATCAAGTTTGTTGCGCTAAGTCACAATACGGTGATTGGAGCGGCGGGATCGTCGATACTGAACGCTGAGGTGGCCGTGGTGAAGGGTCTGATTTAAAGTGGACGAGATCTTTTGACTTTTTCCTTGCCTTTTTAGTGATAGAAAATTTTCTATGATACCTATTTAGAGGGGAAAAAAAATACATGTTAATGATGTTGAGATTGAAGCTAGTGTGTGCCGGTGGTTCCAGTCATGCATGAGGTGTCACTCGATTCATGTGTCGGGATATTTATATACCGAATGAAATTCGTTAGATATGGTGGGTCCGCCCCAGCGAAAAAAATCCTGTGGCCGACAGACCCTATCTTTCTGTTTTGGGCTGCTGCATACGCAGTCTACCACAGCTACGTGAATCACGAAAGCGGAAAATAAAGCTCGAATGATTATATACAGTTGCCCTCCGCTATACCGAATGCCAAAAAAGCCACAAATCTGCTATAACGAACGGGTTTTGGTGATCCGATTCTGAATTTCACATAGAAAATGATAGAATTTTACCCGCTGTACTGAATAATCTACTGTATCGAACGAGAAATTTTGGAGTGTGCAGGTTCGTTATAACGGAGGGCGATTGTAGTACCAAAAGGTATGTAGCTCTGAGGACACCTTCGTCTGGGTTTTTCACATAATCTTTTGAGGCTCTAAGTGAAGTATATTCCCACGAATCATCATCACCTATCACTCGGATTACCTATTTCTAATATGTATTGAAACTCGAGTCTTCGAAAGTCGCGAGGTGGGCCACTACTAGTCTAATATGTACTGCAATAGGTACCCTATGTCTCAAATGTTCGAAAATGAGACATTTTGGGACGGTTTGGTTGGTCGGTCTCCAAAATTGACAGGGATTAATGACAGGGTAGTTGACTAAGCGCGACCCATCAAATGTATCCTTGCAACCAAAGGATACATCAACCAAAGGATATGTACCGGGGGTTAACCATAAATACCGAGAATCTGATAAGATAAACACACCTATTTCACAGCAAGATTCTCTTATCAGATTCTTCGTATTTACCCTCAACGCCCGATACATTATTGAAAGGGTTATCAAGAAAGAGTGCAATGGCTGGGAGGGGGGTCAATCCCCCGCGCACCTAAAACTGGGGCAGATCGAAGCACTTGACCTCTCCATTAAAGGAACCTGCAACTCGCGGGTATGTACTTTCTACGATTCATCAGTGATCGCTCGGAATTACCTAAATAGGATATTCCGAGTGATATGCCATGATGCATCTTTTCTGCGGACCTGGAGGTTCTGTTGTTCTGTGCCATACGCAACACTATCCCTCTTCCCGACCCCAAGCTCCATACAACCAACAAATCGCGCCAGGCAAGCAAACGCATACGCAGAAAATAGTTTCCTTCATTAATTCTTGGATTACTCCTAGGCATGTCTTTTGAGAACTCATCTGCAGAGGCTGTGACGTTGGGTGAGCCTGAAGTCAGCAAATTTCCTTCGACAAAAGAATCCGCAGAGAATAATACTCCCTCTGAAAATGCAGATCCATCAGCCACTTCAGCGACTCTTACAAAGCCAAAAAAGTCTATAAAGAAGAAGCGTCGGCCGGCCCGAGCCCAAGTCGACCCTGCTACCTTCAAAGGTGGCGCGATTCCAGACCAAACAGGGACGGTTTTCAATATCTGGTACAACAAATGGTCAGGAGGCGACCGCGAGGATAAGTATATCTCAAAGTCGCATGCTGAGGGCCGCTGCAATATTGCTAGAGACTCTGGATACACAAAAGCCGATAAAGTACCTGGGAGCTACTTCTGTCTCTTCTTTGCCAGGGGACTTTGTCCAAGAGGTCAGGAATGTGAATATTTACACCGACTCCCCGCCGTGACGGACCTCTTCAACCCGAACGTGGATTGTTTCGGAAGAGATAAGCACAGCGACTACAGAGATGATATGGGCGGTGTTGGGAGCTTCATGAGGCAAAATCATACGCTTTACGTAGGCAGAATTCACGTCAGTGACGATATCGAAGAGGTTGTTGCGCGACATTTTGCGGAATGGGGTCAAATCGAGAGAAGTGAGCCGATGTCCCCCTTCCCTATTGCGTGTTCTCATCTTTACTCCTATAGCTCAGTACTAACGGCTCCTATTTTTAGTTCGAGTATTGAATTCTCGCGGCGTTGGGTTCGTAACCTACACCAACGAAGCAAACGCTCAATTCGCAAAGGAAGCCATGGCTCATCAATCTCTTGATCATAACGAAATCCTTAACGTCCGCTGGGCGACCAACGACCCCAACCCCATGGCACAAGCCCGCGATAAGCGTCGAATTGAGGAACAAGCCGCTGCAGCTATTCGTCATGCCCTTCCGGCTGAGTTTGTTGCCGAACTTGAGGGCAAGGATAAGAACGCTGCGAAAAAGAGGAGGATTGAAGGGTCATTTGGCCTTAGGGGATACGAAGTTCCAGAGGAAATTTGGTATGCTCGCGGTCCTGATGCCGTAAATCCCGCAGGACGCACGGTAGAGGGAGGTGAAAATACTTTAATGATCGAACAGGGCGCCCATACAACGGTTGCAGGGGAGAAGGAGGAAGGAGGAATTATATCGAATGAGATGATGGCAGCCCTGAAGGGCTTCCAACAAAGTGGAGCTAGAGTCACAACAAGGTCGGAAAACACTGGAACTGGGCTTTCCTTGGTAGACTATGGAAGTGATAGTGATTGAGTGGTTTCAATGACTAACTATGTACTCTGTTACTTTTTCTTTTTTTTTCTTTTCTTTGTCTTACCAACGCCTAGCTTTCCTCTCTGGCAATTACGCAGTTCTCTTTATAATTAACCAAGCATTTCTTTGGTCTGATCATGATGTATAATAAAATATCGTAGACGAGCGACACAATAGGGTGTTGGAGATTTCTCTGTTACAAATGTAGCGAGTATGAAAAGTAAACTGTGAATATATAAAACACTAGCGACTACAATATTCAGAATCTTGATCTACGACTTTTACAGTTGAATATCCCTATAGAGGTACGAAATACCGCAAGGTCGTATCCTGTGATTTCAAGGTTAAGCCGAATTTTAAGTTTTTTGATAGATATGAGATGATATATACTATAGCTGCACGCATATTGTAGGTATAGTGATGTACTTAGAAGAAAATAAGCCTCGGAGCGAAATATTGGACTGATTGATATAGTACCGGCCAAAGGCTGGAAACAGAGGACGGCTAGGCCAGCCCGGGCCAAATATATATTGGGAGGGCCCGGCCCGGCCCGTTTAGCTTTAGTCCGGGCCACGTTGAAGATTTAGCCATGTTGAAGATTTAGCTGGGCTGTAGTAGTTATATTTCTATTTATATAGCGTGAGATGTAGCTTGTGTTTTTGTCTTCCTCTTAGAAACTAAAATAGTTCCCGGGACCTTGCAGCTTGTATAGATATATATGGGTGTCGTTTTAGAAAAACCGTCCGCACAGCCAAATCCTTATTCCGAAGAACCATACAACCGATAAGTTTCAAATTTTCATAAAGCTCAGAGAACCTTGGTGAGAGCCCGGAATTAATTTTTCGGTCATTGGTTCCATCAATTGGAGCCTGTAGAGTGTGGTAGCGAACTGATGAGGCCTTGTTGCGTTGCCACACAGGTACATACCTTTTGCTAGATCGACACCCATAATTTTATATGCCTGTACTCGCATATCAAGTATGTTTTTGCGCAACCAGCAAAACATATAGAATCTCGAGAGCTTTCCCATCTCCCCTGAAATTATGCATCTTTTATCTAGACACCTGAAAGACTCTACAGGCCACTTTTAGGCCATATCCATAAAGAATGAGGCGAAGGGTGTCTTAAAAGTCCTTTTATTGCTTTCCTCTCCACCTTTACCAGTATCTCAATTAGGCCAAGAATTTGAAGCATGAATCTCCATTATCGAAATTATGCTATACTTGGTCGTTGTAGTTTTGGTATAACTATGGGACTTTTTATGAGTTGTTGAAAACCTCGATTTTTGGTGTGTTTTGCTGGTTGGGCAAACACATAGTTGACAAGCGAGTACTTGCGGCGAGAATAAGTTTCCGCCAAATTTGTGCGTGAAAATGCGGTTGCACAAGATGCCACTCCCCAACGGCATTATATCCCTAATGCCACCCCCAAACCTAAACGATGTCAAATTCGTGAAGGGCTTTTCCTTTAACTGCACAGACTGAATAAACCTTTAAAATATAGCGGGTGGGATTGAGATATCATCAACGGGGTATCAAAAGCGGGGAGGTGTATCATTAAATTGTATTAATTGGGTGGTATATATATATATATATTGAGAGATACTTTAGAAGGTCAACGTGGTATCAACTGGGTATGGGGGAATCATCAACTGGCAACGGGCTCAAGAGTTCCTTTCACTGGCGGGGGATTGACAGATTGATAATTCATTCATTGTATGTCACTGAGGGGGGGGGGGGGGGGGGGGGGTTGCAATAGAGATGACATCAAGGCCCCACGAATGTGTTTGGAGAGGCACAATTAATTAGAGTGAAAGGAACTCGCGGTCGCGAGGTCGGCCACTGCTAGTATGTATGTACATGGCTTGCCGACCATGAATAATGAACATATTCATGACACTTGATGTAACACGGGCCGGGAGGTGCAAGGGCCCGGCCCGATCCATAAAAGAAATGGCAGGCCCGGCCCAGTCCATGAAATTTTGGCCCGGACCCGTCGTTCCGTGGGCCGGTCCAAGTCGCCCTCTGGCTGGAAACCGTGCACTTATGTATATACATGTATTTACAGTACCAAAAAGGGGGGTGTTCTCAATACCGGACAAATACCACATTCTATAAATTACTGTATTCTGTGACGCAATACCGTAGCTGTACCGTAGTCCTAGCAATGCAGCAGTCTCTACAATACTTATTATATGAAATGCGCATTCGGATGGATGCCGGTATTTTCCGCAATTTGTATTCTGGGGTAACACAGTATTCTACAGAATATGGTATTGCTTTAGCTACAGTATTACTACAGTATTCTAGCAAATACCTATTACCTAATCCTAATACATATTTTGGCCATGAAGCATCTCATGAACCTTGAGCTATGAAACATCGTCAGATATTGATTCATCAATATCTTCATAGCTTTCCATCTTCCGGTGATGGGGGTGCAAAAGTTGCGAACTACTTTTGAAAAATAAAACTTCCTTCTCCTATATACCCAGGTATCAGTTCAGATTGATGAGTATACATGTACCTACATCATACTGATGCTGGATACCTCATATGTACATGTAGGCGAGGTTTTTGAAGCTGTTGATCATGATGCATGTATATGTACATGTAGTAGATGCACATGTAGCCTGACAAGGTGGAGGTCAACGTGTACATGTACAGGGGGTGGGTGGCCGCTAGTAGGGGGTGCGGCCACTAGCGGCGAGGTGCGGTGGTAGGTTTCAGTATTGATACGGTATTTATACGGTATTTGGTGCAATACGCATTCTGGCAATTACGGTAATCACCCAACATTGCAGTATTTCTAGAACTATTTATTGCACAGAATACCGAAATAAACCAGTAATGGAAAGAATACGGTAATCAAGAAAAAGCGGCATTACTACCGTATTACTTCGGTAATGTATACACCCCCCTTTTTGGTACTGTAATTTGATTTTATAGAAAGCTCAACAGCAAGAAATTCCAATATTATCTTTAAAACAAGCCACAGTAAGAATTGGGATTTCCATGGAATGTATTGATTAAGCCCTATTTCAAGCTGAAGAGGTGGGGAAGTGGCCCCAGGGCTGTTTCGAGCAGCGAGTGATTCACCATGACCGTTGTTGGCCGGCTGTTGTGATCACTCTCGACGATACGAATATAGCGTAGTTATCCCAGCCAGCAAAAGCGTGTATTCTATGTGATGATGATTGAGAGAGACAGGACTTCTAGCTAGAGGTACATGTAGTCAAATATCGACACATACACCGTGATTCAAACCGCTACGTTTCCTTTAGCCTCCGCCAGCCGCATCAACTACTGTATTACTAAGCGATCTCAACTAGCGCAATGCGTGAGCGGCACCGAGGGGGCGGCAGTCTGCTGTAAGTGGCTGTGGAGCGTGTCTTCGAGGACTTTGATGGCGGTGAGGCGCGCCGTGCCCAACACTACATACGTACTATGATACAATTTTTTTTGAGAGGCAGGGGGGAGAGTTACTGCTTTACAAGGACGAAGGTTTGAATCACGAAAAGCCACAAAAAGAAGGAAGAACCACCCCCACCTTTTTAATTTTTATTTTTATTAATCTAATCTACATATTTTACAAGATGATCCCCAGATCATCCATCACACTGGGGATCACCACGAGGGAAAAAGGGACATGATGAATGAATGAATGTACCGTCTCCCTCTCATCAGAGCCTTCGTAAAGCGAAGGAACTGATTGAAAGGGAGACGGACCTCAATCAAGAGAGCCGGGAACGGAACGAAGTCCACAGAGAAAAAGGACAACACTCAGCAAGCCGCACTATGGCGGAGCTCCCATGGTTATTTTCATAACCTCTACTGATGATGATGAGAGAAGAGGAGTGCGAGGAGTGCGAGGGAAACGGCCAACTTATAGTCGGGAGCCCATTCTAAAATTTGGCCGACCGCCACGACAAGGACGAGGCGGCTCAAGCCAATGCCAAGAAAACCTCTTTTTTCTGATTTCCTAAGCGCACTCACTACTCAGGTATCTACGGCAAAGGATTCAGGCGACCTACCTTCAAGAGCCACCTGGGCAGTACAAACCCGCTCTCGACATACTATTACCTGTCGCGACAGAAAAAAGGTCAACTCCAGTTCAGTTCCGATCACGTTTCTTCTTCCAGCTCTCGCACTCCCCATCCTGTACTTACCTAACCTCTACCACGATGGCATACGAAGACAAAAAACGAAGAGGCAACGAATCTGAGTACCCCTCGAAACGATCAAAGTCAGAGATGGACCCTTCACAAAATCCTTACCTCGCTCACATGTACGAAGAAGATATTGGGAGTGCCGGGCGTCTTGGAAAGGGCGGAAATACCGGGAGCATATTGAACACCTTCAGGCGCCATCAGACAACCACAAAGCAAGCCAACAAAGCCGAAGATGGTCCACTGAATCCTTTCAATGGGAACGCATTGTCAAATCAGTACTTCAAAATTCTGAAGACGCGAAGGAACTTGCCAGTTCATCAGCAGAGGTGGGTTGTAATGATCTTATCGGGGGTGCTTCCTTTTATCGTTGCTGATTATTTGATCCAGAGATGAGTTCCTTGAAATGTTCCATTCAAGCCAGATCCTCGTTCTTGTCGGAGAAACCGGTTCAGGAAAAACTACGCAGATTCCCCAGTTCGTCCTGTTCGATGATCTCCCTCACCTTAACGGTCGTAAGCAGGTCGCATGTACTCAGCCTCGTCGAGTCGCCGCCATGTCCGTGGCGAAGCGTGTCGCCGATGAGATGGACGTTCAATTGGGGCAAGAGGTTGGATATAACATTCGTTTTGAGGATAAGACCGGACCAAATACCATTTTAAAGTACATGACGGACGGTATGCTGCTCAGAGAGGCTATGAATGATCACAACCTGGACCGGTACTCCTGTATCATTCTCGACGAAGCACACGAAAGAACACTAGCCACCGATATTCTCATGGGACTGTTAAAAGATGTCTCCATAAGGAGGCCGGATTTGAAGATCATCATCATGTCCGCCACGCTGGATGCGCAAAAGTTTCAGCGCTATTTCAATGATGCGCCACTACTGGCTGTTCCTGGACGTACACATCCTGTAGAGATCTTCTATACTCCTGAGGCAGAGCGAGATTATGTTGAAGCCGCACTTAGGACAGTCTTGCAAATACATGCAACAGAGCCTGAAGGAGATATTCTTCTCTTCCTTACTGGTGAAGAAGAGATTGAGGATGCATGTCGAAAGATTTCTCTTGAAGCAGATGAGTTACTACGAGAGACAGATTGTGGTCCTCTGAAGGTTTACCCGCTTTATGGGACTCTGCCACCTGCTATGCAACAAAAGATCTTTGAGCCTGCACCACCCCCGAGACGTCAAGGTGGTGTCCCAGGGCGCAAGGTTGTTGTATCAACAAATATTGCAGAGACATCCCTTACAATCGATGGCATTGTTTATGTTGTGGACCCCGGTTTCTCAAAACAGAAGGTCTACAATCCTCGAATTCGTATCGAATCGTTACTAGTCTCCCCAATCTCCAAAGCATCTGCCCAACAGCGGGCTGGTCGTGCCGGTCGTACCAGGCCTGGAAAATGCTTTAGGCTTTACACTGAAGCAGCCTTCAAAAAGGAGTTGATCGAACAGACTTACCCTGAAATTTTGAAAAGCAACCTTTCAAACACAGTCTTAGAGCTGAAGAAGTTGGGGATCGATGATCTAGTTCACTTTGATTTTATGGACCCCCCAGCGCCAGAGACGATGATGAGAGCACTGGAGGAACTTAACTTTCTTGCTTGTCTGGATGATGATGGGTATGCAAAATTCTCTTCATGTAATTATGGACGGTCATCTGTACTAACACGACTTTTCACAGTAATCTCACGGCACTTGGAAAAATTGCTTCCGAATTCCCTCTCGACCCTGCGCTAGCAGTTATGCTTATTACCTCACCTGAATTTTTCTGCTCAAATGAGATACTTTCTATCACCGCTCTACTTTCTGTCCCTCAGATTTTTGTGCGTCCCCCGCAAGCTCGTAAGCGGGCCGATGAGATGAAGCAGCTGTTCGCACATCCAGACGGTGATCATCTTACGATGTTGAACGTGTATCATGCCTTTAAGTCCACGGAGGCTCAAGAAAACCCAAGTGATTGGTGTTACAACCACTTCTTGAGTCTGAGGTCTCTCCAGAGCGCCGATAATGTCAGAAGTCAATTGGCAAAGATCATGGAAAGGAATGAACTGGAACTTGTTTCCACGCCTTTTGAAGACAAGAATTATTACACCAATATAAGGAGAGCGCTTGTCTCGGGATTCTTCATGCAAGTTGCAAAAAAGACGGCGAACGGGAAGCAATACGTTACCGTCAAAGACAATCAGGTACTTTCGGCCCCCTTCAATCCACAAATTTCGTTTTTATAATAACTAATTCTTTTGTAAAGGATGTTCTCCTCCATCCCAGTACAGTACTTGGGCAAGAGTCTGACTGGCTAATTTACAACGAATTCGTCTTGACCTCTAAAAACTACATCCGGACAGTGACACAGATTAAACCAGAGTGGCTACTTGAGATCGCGCCGATCTATTATGACCTTGATACGTTCCAAAAAGGAGATGTGAAAACTGCGCTGCAGAGGACGGCAGAAAAGATGAAGCGGAAGGAGCAACTTGCCGGGAAAACGAGTAGGATGGGTAATGGGTATTAAAACTTTGTGTCGTGAGTCTGGGTATACTGCTATTATTTTTAGATGTTGTGCCAGAATTGTACGGCATTTTTTCTTTTTTTTTTTCTTGGGAGTATTGTATTTTTAAAGCCCGTACTTGGTATTTAAAGGTTAAAGGCGATCCAGTAAAGATAAATACCATTCAGTAATTTTTTTTTTTTAGTTAACTTAGGACGTGTTTGGTTGTCTTATATATATCCTTATAACTACCCACTGCAGCTGGTGACTTCACGTATAAAGCCTCACGGCTTTTCAAGCTTGGCAATGGTCCTAAGCAGGAAATTAGAACTCCCGGAAGCGGCTGTTACAAGTCACAGTGCTTCAAAGCGAGACCAGAGTGGTGATGGTAATTCCTAGTAGGCTCGGAAGCCATATTTCAATGCTTTGTCTGTCATATCAAACGAGTGATGACGCATGATCTAGTAATCACGAGAACGGACTCAAATTATGGCATGATTTTGTGGTCCACTAAGGGTATACAATCTGGCCACGTCAGGTGAATCATGATTCAGATTCTCAGTCGAATCAGATAATCTCGCTTCCGTCCTCATCGAATTTCATCTGCTGGGAGTCGAGAGGTGCACTGCGCTGGTGTGCGTGGGAATCGATTGTCGTCAGGAACACATCTATTACCATAAAGCCACCTGAACCATGGCAGAAACCCACTCTGTTGTTGATCTCTCTCACTTTGACGAGGAAGACGTGTGCGACTACCGCTTCGGAGGATACCACCCGGTACGACTTGGGGATATCTATAATAGTCGGTACAAAGTTGTCCGGAAGCTTGGGTATGGACAAAACTCGACAGTCTGGCTTGTGTTGGATCTCCGGTATGCATATACAGTACCCGACGACTTTTACTTCGTCTGAACCTTCTCTGACTCTCTCTTAAATATTCGCAGTCTCAATCGCCACGTAGCTTTAAAAATTCTAACATCCCGCTGCTACGGTGGGAAAAAGGAGGTCTACGAACTCGCCATACTCCAACGTATCACAAATGCCGATGTGAAACATCCAGGATGGAAACATGTCCTTGGCCTACTTGATTCCTTTGTGCATACAGGGCCAAATGGGGATCATGTTTGCCTGGCGAGCGAAGTGATGTTGGGGAATCTCCACGAGCTCTCGTTCCGTTTTGGTCCGCGACGGCAGTTGCCGGTAAGGCTGGTGAAGGAGGTTTCGAGGCAAATGTTAAGCGGGTTGCAGTATTTGCACGAGGCCTGCGGGGTTATCCATAGTGGTATTTCTTTCTTATTTTTTCTCGTGGGGTGATAGTGAGGGCGCAGGCCGGCATGGACAGGGGCTAATCCGGGGTAGATCTGAAGCCGGCGAATATATTGATATCGATAAAGGGGTTTGATGTGGAGAATGAGATACGAAAACATCTGGAGAACAACCATCCAATGGTTTTTCAGCCGGATTATCTTATTATATCTGATGCGCTACAGCTTAGCTTACCTGGTTCCCCCTCGGATTTTCTATTTAAAATTGCGGATTTTGGCAACTGTGAGTGGTTCTTCACACATCAAAGTTATTAGAAAATCAGTACTAACTGAGATCACTGTAAAGCATCCTGGGTTAATAACCACTTGATGGAGCTAATTCAACCCGTCAATCTTCGGGCACCGGAAGTTATCATCGGCGCTAAATGGGATACTAGTACGGATATATGGAATATAGGATGTGTAGTTAGTTCACGCCGCTCTTCACTGGTGGTATGTTTAATCTACTAACAAAGAGTAGATATTTGAGTTGTTACAAGGTAGGCCGTTATTTCGCGGCCGAGCAGATGAAGGTTTAGGCTGGACAGTAAATGAAGACCGATTAGCCCTCATGATGGATCTTTTTGGTCCTTTACCCAAGGATCTGTTACAGGAAGGAAAGGTATCGTCAAGATATTTCGATGATAATGGTATCATTTTCGATCTCCTTTTATACCAAAATCCTGCCGCTAAAGAGTACTATAGGGAACCTATCCTCTATAAGGCCAATCAGCAATGAGTTCTCTCTTGAAAGGGTAGTGAAACTCTGGAACCCGGGTCTACCGGAAAAAACGGTATTCGGGTTCGTGGGGTTTCTTAAGCCAATGCTAAAATATCGACCCAAGGACCGGAAGGCCGCTGGACAGATGCTGAATGAAGCATGGCTTCAATAGACCAAATAAGTTGTGTTACTTTTCATTTCTTCTGGGGTCATTTGGAATATTACCTTGTAATTCTCTGGGGTTTATTTTACTTCTTTTATTAGGGGATAATGGGTTAGTATTTTTTTTTTAATCAATGATCAATGCAGAAAATGTAACATGGAAATTATTTTCATTTCTACCACGTTGCGCATATTGGGGGAAATTTATACTCGTGAAAGTGAATTTTGAGCTAGAGGCATTATTGAAACAGCTGCTATGTATCTAATATGAGCTAAAATAGTGTCTTGGAAGTCTCTCGCAAACAAACCACTTTAATCAGTACTCGTAGACCGCAAAACTAGAAAGGGTGTAATAATGCCGATATAACTCAATCATAGAAGATCACTCGATTGAGAAGAAAACCCCTCTACATATATTTTGTTAACTCATTGATGGTACCCTCTACATATACATATAATAGTGAATTCAAGGTATAAATCAAATAATTGTAAGCTACATATTCTCGCTATTTCATTCTTGATACCACCTTTTCATACTTATTTGGTAGGGCTCGTAGACGGGTCTAGGCCAGCTATCATTTCCCCCGGAGTAGTTCGGGGTTGACTTCCACAGCCCAAAACGCTCAGAATCACGACCTATCGAGCTTCATAAGGTTTGTATCCCTCCTTCCCAACTCCGGCAATATTATATCCCCTACAAAACGTTCCACAACCCTAAACCCGCACTTTTCAAGAACCCTAATACTGCCCATATTCAAGGGGTCTACCTTTGCTACCATGAAATTGATACCTTTGGCGTACCCCCAATATGCCTCTATGTATGCAGCAAGCGCTTCACTTGCGTATCCATGACCCCAGAAAGACTGGTTAAAGATATAGCCTATCTCGACCGTGTCTGGGGAGAAGAGAGAGGTGACACCAATGACACCAATCATGGCGCAATTGATCGTTATGTCGGAATTGGAAGCTCGAATTAGAACCCCGTAATTGAGACACTCGGGCTTCTCTGGGTCAAAGAACAATCTGTCCATGCGGGCTCTACTCTCTTCAAGTGAATGAGAGGTTCCACGAGTTCTAGGTGGGAGTTATTAGCAATTTGAGGCTCGAAAGGTATCTGATAGAGAGTACTCACGACCACTTGGCTACAGGGGGATTGCTCCAGATAGCGTGGAAATCATTGAGGTGCGACTCTTCAAGAAGTCGGAACTCGAGCCGCGTAGTTTTCACAACTGGAGGAGGTAGGAGGAGTTCGCTCATAACTTTATATGTGTTTTGTTCTGTCCGGGAAGAGAACATTGATATTTAACAAGTCGATTGACTCATGACTCTGAATGCGTACAGGGATTATACCTACAGAGCACCTTCCTTATTTTTATTGTAGAGGCAGCTATAGAAATCCATGAAGGGCGTTTACTTTTTTTTTGAAAAATGAATAGTAGCTGATTGCCTGAGGGATTCATCGTATCGACAATGGCGAGATTGTCCATCGCAACAGATTCCAACTGATCAACCTATTCAGCTCGAAAGCGATATTTCATGTATGCAGCTATAGTTATAGGAATATCCTTGCTTAATAAACCCTAACCACCAATCTAGATGAAAACCTATCTTTCAGGATGCTCATAATTGATCATTTCCTGCAGATACTTCTTATATATATATATACGAGGGAATAATCGTAAATCTGCCAAAGTAAACATCGGACTTACAAAATATATCGAATCTAAAAACACCTTCAGCATGGCTCACCAAAATGCGCATATAATTATGCACCTCGCACAGCAGATCCAGCGCCTCACTTACAAGGATACCTTTATGAGGGGTCAGTACTATGTCCTTGCGAGAATAGTTTGCGACCCCTCTCCCCAGAACTCGTACTCCGAGCTTGTTCAAATCATGCATAAAATTTCTGCATATAATATTCGGCATTATACTTCTGCCTTAGAAGCAGAAGAAGTTAGAGTGCTGATTATAAACATGTGCGTCGAGAGGGTCCCGTGGGAGAAGGTATCGTTGTTTAAGACGTTTGTGGAGCAGATGGAGCATCTGCATGAGTTGAGGGTAGAGGTAATTGAGGAGTTGATTAGGCTCAAGTTTGACATGGATGTGGAGCTGCATTTAGGTAAATGCGATGGCTGTGAGGAATGTGAGGAACTCGAGGAAGAGTGAGCCAGTAGGCGAATTCTAGGTTTTGGAACATGCGCATGAGAATGTTCTATGCAGGCACGAGATGTTGCATCGAATCTTTCCCATTCGGGTCTCTAACTATTGATTGTAGTACTAAGAGAAAAGCAAAAGAAAATTGGGAACTTAGCACGGGCAAGAATTTGTTTAATCAAGACAATATGAAAAATTTAGTCACGAAGAATTTAGTCACGTAGGATTTATTAAAGAGATGTAGTTCTTGATAATGAACCTCGTCGATTTATCTATATATATTCGCCTAGATTGGCAGCTAAATGAAAATCGCTCACTAGACGTCGGTTTGATTAGTACAATTTCAATTACATCTGGAACTTCGAATCAATCGCTCGCATGGCCAAAATTATCCTAGGTAAACACTTTCTAAACGTTAGTGACAATGTCCACCAGAGGTCTCAAAGAAACATAAAAGGTGCAAGGTAGGGGGGGTTCGTCAGAAGTCCAGGACTATCATCGACCTACACACCCCTCCGAAGAAGAATATGTAGGCCTCGATAAAGAGGTACCAGAAAAATAGTATATATGTGATTGATCATCATTCGGAATTGTAGGGTATGGGATGAACAGCGGGAGGGCAGAATGGTTGTAACTTACATTAATGTGCACAGCTGCGCATATCGATCGAATGGTTGAAGGATTGGTGAGTCTTGATAGGTGAGAGTTCGCGTTGGCTTCAAGTTTGAAGTTTTTCTTTCTCATCGGAAATCCGATTAGTCATGTTGTCGCCAAGCGTGGATTCACCGCCTTAAGGGCAGGGGGCATAGGGCTAGGATAAGGCGACGTGGGGGTATTCGAGTGAGATTGGGAGATGCATCAATGAAAGCTGCGTAGACTTAAAAATTTTATTAGTGCCCATGATTTTAAAAGACTATGGGGGTAATTAGTTGCTTTCGTAGGTTTAAGGATGAACTCGTAAATCCCCAAGAACCCTGACTACATGTATCCGTGGCACCGGCGTGTTACTCCATCTCTCAGCAGGCCAAAAATTCTCTGAAAACAAATCCTTGGTAAAGTATCGAAAGAAGAAGAAGCTTAAGGGTATGTATGTCATTCAAAGCAAAAAAAGCATACATAAAAAGCATCAACTAACTCTGAAAGACCATAGACTCCAACGTTGAAACCCCCCTCGATTCCCACTAGAAAGTAACACCTCGTTGCGATTTTTAATGTTTTTCAGGTTCTTGCCCGAAAATTTTAGAGCTTTGTATAAAAAATATCAGTTATCTCATCGCTGGCGTTTGGGCATTACAGGACGGTGGAATATTATTTGTATTCGCACCCTGGACCACCCCATCGTCGCTTCCTTGTAAAATAATAACAAACCCATATACCGAGACAAAGGAAAAGGAGAGAGATAAGGAAAAGTACGTAGATGAGGTATATCAACGACCAAAAACAACAGGTCATTCAGTAAAGTAGTCAAGGCTTACTTCAACTAGCATTTGAGAACTAAGAATGATGATAAGATGAGGAGGCGGAAGAGAAGGGGTAGATAATCGAATGAGGTATGAGGAGGTGATGAGTTAAGGTAGTGCATAATATATCAAATAACAAGACGCAAACATGAACTATGGACCAAGCACCTTACTCAATAAACAGCCGAGGAAACAGAAATAGATAGGCAACTGAAAACGCCCCACTTGATATCCAAGAGCCCTAAAGAAACAACAAAAAATACGAAGAAAAAGGGTTTATAATAAAAAACAATGTCCAAGAAATATAGAAAGAAAAAAACCTAGTGGAAATAAGTCCGCAAGACGATGACAAAACCCGTGCCAAAAAGAAGAAAAGAAAAGGGAAAGGGAATAATTAGAAGTGCCCCCGATTAAGAGTGCCCAAGAGTGTTCGCCGCCGTTGCACGAATGGCCAATATCCCAAAATTGAAGTCCTGCCACCAAATCGCTGAGTCCCATTCATCCAAAATATTCCGCTCCGTTCTTTTTTTTCTTTTTTTTCTCGCAATGTTCCCACTCTGGGCCACAGATAGTCAAAGTGATAAACGAAATATGAAGGGAAGTGTATAAAACCAATAAATGTTCCCACCCAACAAAGCAGAACCCCCTAATGTTCTCCACCCAAATACTTTTATGATCCGTTCGTCTTAACACGTTTATTCCCGCCCACCCGTGGACTCTGCTTGACTTTATTGTTGACCGTACCATTGACACCGCTGTCACCTGCGTCCTCGTTTTGCTTCACCTCGCTAGTGGTACTTGCTCGTCGCCGCTTATTCGTTTGATTCGGAGATGTGTTCGCGCTTCCTACTGTCGTGCTCGTTTGTGAGCTCGGATTGCTGGTGGGATGACCCTGCTGCGAATGTTGGGTTACTAACCCTGGGGCCTGAATATGTGGACTTGGAGTTGTGCCTGGTCCTCCTCCCACTCCTCCAACACTTAGATGCGGTGAGGGTGGTACACCCATCCGCATCTCATTCGCCGATGGTGATCGTGTAAGACCAATTGGGAGTCCGCCCATCATTTGGTGCTGCTGCTGGTTAGGGCCTCGCGGAATGCCGCCAGGTCCGCCGGGGTGCCCCTGCTGTGGCTGAAGCCCCTGAGCCAGAGCTGAGGCATGCGCTGCTTGCTGCTGCTGCTGTTGTTGCTGCTGCTGTTGCTGTTGCTGCTGCTGCTGCTGTTGTTGTTGCTGCTGCTGCTGCTGCTGCTGTTGCATAGCTGCCTGTTGCTGTATCGCGTGCTGATGAGCTAGATGCTGTTGTTGCTGCTGCTGTTGTTGAGTCACAATACTTTGGAGAGCTTGGCTAGGTGTTAGATTCGCATTCGCTTGTGAAAAGCTGAAGAGGTCGCGCATTTGAGATATTGTTTCTGCGATCTACTCTCGTAAGCTAAGTGTACAAGCTACATAAACATTGTTTCAAATAATGACGGTACCTCCAAACATCTAAAAACAGTGTCAGGAACCCCGTACGGGTTCACCAGAGTTTCAGGCACATCCACATGACGTTGCGAGGGTCTCTTTCCTAACGATTTGCTGCCAGGCGATGACTTTATCTGGGCATCCTCGTTGGCGGATACCAGCGCACTCACGACTGACCGGGGGACGTAATCAATATGCTCGTTTGTCTGAAAATCCAACGCCTCCATCTGTGAATGAAGGTTGAAAGTTGCCTTCAGCACTCCAGTGGCAATCAACTGGAAAGATCGGAACTATGGTTAGTGCGCAACAAAGAGGGTTGGATGTGGACCAACTCACGTGACAATCGTTTTGGAACCAATACACGAAACTTGCTTTCGGGGATTCCACAATGTGCCCTTGGTTTGGAAGCGGCGTTTCCCGGGTACCTTCAAGCATGATCTGTACATTTCTTACACCGCTCTCGAATAATGTGTAGTAGTAGCGAGCTAGAACCTGGGTTGTAATCTCGAATTGCTTTGTTTCCCGCGTTGTGCTATTCCAGAGTGCCTGTCGCATTACACCGCCAGGCGAGTAGAAGTTTGAAACGAATGTTCGCCAATAGTTGATGTCGTTCGCAAGTCGAGGAGTCTCAAACGCAGCTAGGTGGCTACAGAATTGGTGTAATTTCAGTACAGAGGCACCTCGCAAAGATTGACTACCCGGAAAAGTCAGCATTTGCTAAAGACAGAACAAAGCTACCGAGATTTACGGTTGTTGCTGAGCCTGTTGAGCTCGGGCCTGGGCCTGGGCAGCCTGGGCAGCTAGTGCTACCTGTTGCTGCTGTGCTAGATTTCCCTGCATACTCATCTGTGGTTGTGGGGCCATGTTCATCGGGGAAGCCTGCGAATGAGCGGCAGCATTCGCTTGGTTCATGGCTATCTGTTGCGCAACCATTTGTTGCTGCTGCTGTTGTTGCTGCTGCTGCTGGGCTGCTTGCGCCTGTGCCAATTGTTGATGAATATGTGGTGGTAGACTCACATTTCCTCTCATTTGAGGGTTTCCACCCCCATATCCCCCCATATTAGCACCGGGTACGCCTCCTCCCGGCGGACCGCCTGTGTATAAACCGTTAGGAAGACCGCCGCGGACTTGGGGAGACCCGTTGTTCTGGCCATGAAAGATCATACCCGGGTTTCCCATACCCACATTCATTCCGTTCATCATCGCATGCTGTTGTTGGGCCTGCTGTTGTCGCTGCCGTTGCTGTGCTTGTACTAGCAACTGCTGTTGTTGTTGTATTTGGGCCATTTGTGCTTGTCCTGGATGTAACCCAGCTACCACTGGAGACGCCATGTTAGTGCCATTCATTCATTAACAATGAGAACTCCTTCATGACACCTCAATTGAGCCTCAACCACCTTTGAGGTAGGTCGCGAGCTTAATTAGCGCGATTCTCGCGCGCCAATTGAGATAACTAAGATCGAGCTCCTAAACTAAAATAGGGTGCTGGGGACTACTAACGCGCCATCTGATGTTGCTGTTGAGCAGCAGCCTGCTGAGCAGCCTGCTGAGCAGCATATACCTGGGCTTGTTGAGGATGTAATTGCTGCATCCCATGAGGCGCCGGTTGTCCTGGATGGCCTTGAACATGTTGTTGAGGACCCTGCTGCATACCTGGGTGCTGTTGCAGCTGGTTCTGGTGTTGAGGGTACGCGATCATGGTTCCGTGATTGTTTACGGCTCAGCGGCCGTTGGGGAAGAGGGGGGTCTGATGTCTAGTTGTGTTTATGTTCGAGTAGGTTTTTACTTATATATGGCGGTGATATAGTCAAGGGGTTTATATGGCTCTGGCTAGTGTGGGATGTATTATGAAGGTTGATGCGTAGTAATGGGATTAGGGTCTGAGTATAATAATAATCAGATGGTGAGGGTGAATGATGGACGGGCGATGCGAGTAGTTATTCAGACAATCGTGTCGATGGGGGCGACGAACGTACTGGGGGGAGGGATACCTGGGGAGGGGGCAGATATCTGGGGGGTTGTGGACTGGCTGGGTTGGGTGGGTAGGTCAAGCAAGTAAACTCAATAGCGGGTGAGGATCGATGTGAAAGAGGGGTTTAGGGTTGTTTTTTGAGGCTCGCGGAATGGAAAGGGAAAGGGTTGGCTGGTTGCTTTCTCGAAAGGGATCGGTTCGCGTGAGATGCACCGAGTAACGCCCAAGAAGCTTTTCCGGCCCGCTGGACAGGTCAGGAGTGGAACGGCGACGACGGCGGCGGCAGTAGCAGCGAAGTGGCAGCAGCAGCCAGAAGTAATGGTTGAATGCGGCAACAACAACGGGGGAGAGAGAGAACGACCACACGTAATGGAAGGCTCTTCCGGAGAATCAGAAGGGAGCGTGTGTGCGAGAAGAGAGTGAGAGAGGGTTGGGATGAGGAAAAAAGGTGAAGGGAGGTGAGGAAGGAGGAAGGAGGCGCGGGAGAGCGTCGGAAGTATTGGGTGGTGGGTAGGTAAGAAAGGGCTAGCAGTATGAGATAGAAAGAAGGAGCTGCAGCAGTAATAGCAATATGATGTATGTAGTTGTAACCAGCAGTAGTAGCAGTTGCAGTAGAACTGGACAAAACGGACAGAGCTGCTGCTGCGACCGTGAACAGCAGCTACAAATAGGATATTATTATAGACGTTTATGAGATCTCATGACTTCTAGGACGTAGATAGATAGGTGGACTGTTATTCCCCTTCTCCCGCTTTTTTTTTTTAAAAAAAAAAAAGTACTTTCTTTTCCTGAATTTACCTCTGTCTCTCAGTAGGGCATCATTTAAATACGCAGGAAAAAAGTAGTAAATGCCGCCGGTCTCAGGGGGAGGAGCAGGCAATAATCAAAATTCGAGAGGCTGCACTTTGCTGGGGCAGAACAAGAAAATGTGCACTGTACTGTGGGAAGAAGCAAGTACTTATAAGATCAGAGAACCAAAAAATGGATCCTCAGAATGAAGCAAAAGAGGAGGGGAGAAGAATTGTGTGCACCTTTTTTTTTTTTTTTTTATTGCAAGAGCAGAGCCCTCGCTGTTCGCTCCCTCTCTCTGGGGGTCTGGGGGGCAACAGTGGTGGTCCTTTTTTCCCTCCATTACCGCTAATTTACTAATTAACTGTCTTTTTCCTTACCAAGATGGGATGATTTGTCAGTAAAATCCTACGTGATAACCCTAACCCACTGTGCCAATTTCTCTTACATCGGTCAAAAAATTTTCTTTTCCTTCCCGTGTGCTGCCTATAAAGGATCCGATGAGCCTCTCAACATCATTAACACCATGTCCCGCGACCGTGAACATCGAAAAGGAAGTACTGACATTGCCAGGTGCTTCCATCAAAAGTTACTGGTATGTACTCTCTCCTCCATCTTCCATTCACTACCCTTCATAAACTTCTGAATGATGAAAACCTACGCACACCTTCTTTCCCAATCTTATTCGATCATGATTGAGGCCGCAGTGCTGTTCGGGCTCGATCCAGCCTTCGGGATGGATTGACCTGTCTACTTGCCAGTACTTTGTTGTCTGACTTTTCAGAAGTCAATTCACTACATCTTGCCCCACTTGTCATTACTGTTGTGACCATTCGCTAACATTGTGGGAGAAAAGACTTGACAGGTTCCATCGATCAATATCAATAATCCGTACGGTCAACAGGCTCACCACAAAAGGTCAGTCTAATTTTTCTACAGTTCCCCCCTCACTGCCCAATTGCACCTCCCCTTCCCCCTCCCCCGCGTTCAGATGATGAAAGCATATCCTACATTCGCAGTTTCCTCGGTAGCATACGCAAGAACCCATTTTGTATTGCCAGTGACCGCTGCAAGACCTTTCTTGGAAGTCTGATTCGAACGCTCAAATCCACCAATTAAAATTTATTGCCTATCACACTCTAATCGTGATCAGTCATGCTAACATCTTAAAGGTTATACTACAGGTCTTATCGACTTGCGGTCCATGTAATCAATCAACTCAATAATACTACTACCACCAGTAATAACACATATAATAAGAATACTAATACTAATAATAATAATAAAAATAAAAATCGATTAATAGTCTTTAAAATACAATTTGTAAAATCTTCTGTCGTGAAAATGTGCTCTGTAATACTCCATCCTCATCGTATCCACCCCTACCCGTGATCCTCTGCCATCATCAAATATATCCATCTCTCTCCTCCATCAAAAAACTGCATGTCTCGGCCCGTTTCCAACTGCACTGGCTTACTTCGTGTGGAACCTATGTAGCCTCGCCAATTTGCAGTTGTGCGTTGTTAGAGCATGTAGAATTTCGTCATGGGTACAACAGAAATTGCGGGGAACACATTTTTTTTATCCTGTTCCTTGCATGAGATCTTACTCTAACGGCGGTCAACTTTGGTACCTTGAAGGGAGGGAGGAATAGGTAATGCTCGGACAGGGTATTTGGCAGATCATTTTAGGTCATCCACTCCTAGATCCTCACTCGACGCCATGGGTTGGTGACATGTATCTATCAGGGGATGATATATGTACCTCTACGTAAAGGATCAGATGGTGCTCCTATGGACCCATGGAAATCCAGAGACTATTGCCTGAAGCAGCAGCTAAGTTGCATGATCCCAATATCGGCGGATGAGTATTAATTCAAATTACATATAATTCATCTATGTACAGAGTATTAGATAATACTAGTGCAACTTTGCTCTGTAGACGGAAAATAAAGATATGATAACCCAGGGCTGCTGAAGGCTATGTAGCTCCATCCATTCCAAAGTCGTTTCGTTTCCTGTGTTTTGATGCTGATGCTGTTATTCGTGGGTTAGCATAAACACATGTGAGAATCGTAGATTGCTGTTAGCTTCAACTCAAACCCCGACTCGCACGGTTTCTATTTAGAGAGCTGTAGATTAGTACAAGCACCTAAGAGAAATCATCGGTTCCCCATATTATAGCGGAAAGATGCATGTGCTATATGCTGTTCAATGTTACTTAGTGGTGGCCAAGCTTTTCAGAAGCGGTCTTCATAAGATCTCACTCGACGTAGTCATAACGAACTTACAAAAATCAAAGAAAATAAACGAGAAACGAAGTGAAAGAGAGGAAACTCAATACAACCATCCACATAACCCTAGTGCTTACAGAAGGAAAGTCACAGATATTTACAGTACGAACCTAACTTATCATTTCCCTCTCCGGCGGCGCGCCTTTTTTTCGTATCGTAATTATCATATCATGTCATGCAGCTTTTCTCAGTACGTTTTTGGTTTTGTTTTTTTCACATAATCTTCTCTCTTTCGCAGACATCAAATCAATCAATCAAAAACCAATCACATCATCAATCACCACACGCACACATCTCACACTACGAGATTTCACCGGCAGAAGCGAAAATCACGGTGTCACGACTCACGTAATCTTACGTCTCCGGAACGAGAGAGAGGAAGGGAAGAGGGGAACCTTTGTCCGCTCCCATGGCCGTATGTTCTCCCGTCCTCTCTCTATCCCGGATTTCCGCCGATATGTGTGCGCTCCCGCCCCTGATTCCCCTGACTTCCCATATCTGCACTATCAAACCACCTACGACATGATAAGAGACGAGGAACGATTAATGACAAAAGAGATAACATCGAAAAGAAAAAGAGAAAAAAACAGAACAACAAAATGCAAACCACAAAATTATTCCAGAGAGAATAAGCTGCAGCCCAATAGCTCCCCGGATGTAATCAAAGAAGAGGATGATGATGACGACAGGAAGATTCCAATATATTAGGTCCCCGGTGCGGCGCTGCCTGCATTTCCTGCTTGCTGTTGCATCATGGCAGCATAATACATTGCGCAATAGGCTTGGTATCCTCCATATGGCGCATATGGGTCACTAGGGTCGGCAGATACACCAGGAGTCGCACCAGCAACACCAGGTGGTGCGCCAGCTGCAGGCTGCTGTTGTTGCTGGGGCTGCGAATAAGCTGCCCATGAGGGTTGCTGGTGCTGTGTCTGTGAAGATTGGTTATAGGAATCATTGTGGTGCCCACTTCCAGTGCTGTGGTGTGAATGTCCCCCCCCTCCTGCTGAGTGAGAAGGCTGTGGGCGGTTTGGTGGCCCATTACGTGACTTTGAGTACTGGGTGAGCGAGGTTAGTATATAGGTTGCTATAGAGGGGAAAAGGAATAGAAAAGAGAAGGGAATTATGTACAGAGGCTTCCACTTTTTCTTCGATAGCTTGACGGGCGCGGTTGATCGCGTCGCGGGTTCCAGCGAGGGCGATTTCTCGCTCGGGATCGTTGGGGTTGCATTGGGAGGAGACATTAATTCTGCATCCGGTTGAGGATTGCATTTCTTTGATTGTCTCTCCGCCTGTTTAGACAATTAGTATGACATAGAACTAGGTTTTGAAGAATTAGGATTACCTTTTCCGATGATCATCCCCACCGCGTCAATAGGGACTTTAATGGTCTCTGTTATCCTTCCATCCGTTCCACCGCCGCCCCCACCGCGTCCAGCGTCACCATGACCGCCGTAGTATCCGCCGCCGCCGCCGCCGCCTGCTGGGGGGCCTCGCTCGGGGCGGCCGCCTCCGATACTAGGTGGTGGTCCGGTACCAGCATTGTCGCTCTCGACAATTTCCATGATCAATCGTTTGGCATGTTCCGCAGCAGCTACCGAACCAATGAGATTTACAGGCCTCTGGCCATTCTGCGATTTGGCTTCGCCCACGATGTTGACATGACATCCGGACTTGTCCTGGATATCCCTAATAGTTTCACCTCCACGACCAATAATCAAACCGACTGTACGGTCTGGGACAAGTATCTGTATTGAGTCCTCTACACGGTACATATCAAGTCAGAATTACGTTCCGCGGATTTCCATCGATTTTAATGGGGATGAAGAAAGGATATTGAAGAACGGAAAAGGAAAGAATCGCGCCAATTCACCACTGCTGTTACTTATGCTGCCATGGAAATTGGACCAACCTCCGTCTCTTAGGTTGGGCTGGCCGGCGCCCCCACCACCACTACCGGCGCCCCCACCGCCGCCAAACTTGCCTCTACCACCCCCTGCGGGCCCACCGCCCATACCACCTCCACCAGAAGGACCATTCTCGGCAATAATAGCTTCAATGGCTCTTCTGGCAGCAGCGATCTGAGGGCGGCTTCCCTGAATATTGCATATTCTTTCGCCGCCGCTGTCTCGGTCCTGACCATTAGTCAAGAACTGCACCCTTGCGCCAGTTTCTTGTTCTACGCGCCGTAAAGTCTCACCACCGCGACCGATAATAAGCCCTACGAGTGTAGATTCAATGTTCATTTGTTCCGCATCCGGAGGTGGAGAACGAGTTCTATGCCCACCAAATCTAGCCCCTTCGGCGCGCGCGGGAGGAGGCGAGTTTTGATATCCACCAC